AGAATGGTCTTAAGAATCTCTAAGGAGTCGTTCACAAGATTTTAAATCTTGTGAACGACTTGTTGGCCTTCATTTACATTCGACGCGCTTGTATTCGCATCCAGAGTAACAGAAAATATAGTATTCTCCTACGAGTTCATGCGCTCGCAAGAACCTCGTGGGGCCATCCACGAATGGATCAGCTGAGATATCAGACGTCGCTCCCGCACAAGCATTCAATTGGCATGCCGTGATACCCACGCACGTTGTTGCAAATAGAAGGCGCATGCTTACTCTCGAACATACCCGTGCGACTGCAAACTGCGTTTATAAAGTGGTGGTTGCGAGGGAGGAATAAATATTTGTTAATATGCAAATCACTCACGAGGACTGTTTTGCAGATCGGCTTTCGTCATCGTAAGCAAAACCGAAAAGGTTGGTGACAACTAGGTTAACCGGATGAACACTACTGGATTGCACATCTCTTTCGATACCAGCTCAGTAATTATGTAAATCAATTGAACATGAACCGCCCTGCTCTTGGTTTGCTTACGTTCTGAGAGGCAGCAGGAGCATCAGCACAACGCAAACATATGCTGACCTTTTGTAATGGTATTATTGTAGAAAATCTCCTTTAAACAGCACCCTCACAACGTCTCTTGATCGTAATTCAGCGCTGTTCATCTCCAAATTCAGCTCGACATTCTCGTAGCTCTTGTGGAGACTGCGCAACAAACAGATTGCCATGTCTTCGTCCTCCATCTTGGCGCCGATGCTGGTTAGCTTGGCGCTGATGTTGAGAACCTCGTTGCACTGATGCATCACATTGCCGCCTTAGGTTAAGAAATCTGAAAGTCAAACCGCTCCAGCAACGACTCAGCTGTTGGGCTTCGCGTTTGGATGAGCTGGCAACCAGTGAAGGGTTTGACCTCATGAAACTTAACGCAAAGATATGCGACCCTGGCAACGCGTGCTGGACTACGAAGCATTTTACGAACGACATCCAGACACGTCAGTACCGGTTCCCTGAGGTCATCCTTGGCAAGCCTTACGATACATCAGCAGATATTTGGTCCATGGCACGCTTTGTGTTTGAGCTGCCGACAGGAGACCATGTGCTTGCCTGTACACCACGTGTAGTTGGAGCAGTTGAGAGAGAGATGCGTGATGCGCCGCTTCTTTTGGACACGCTGACGTACTGCATGCACGGTAGGTGCAATTTCAAACCATTCAGGGATGTTGCATTTGTAGTGTTTGTGGGCGTTTGTTTTATTAAAAGAAGGCTTTTGATCGATCGATGCGCCGTTGGTTTAATGGTTAGGATTCATCCCTCCCACGGATGAGGTCGTGCACCTCGGTTGACCCAGCCGCGTCGGGTGAACCCAGGTCGGGGTTCAATTCCCCGACGGCGCACGTCTTCCTCAAAATATAGCCTTGGGAAGGACATGGCTTGCTGAGTATTAGGGACTTGTTGACTTCGAAACCTATTTGTTGCTTCGGACCCTTTCTACTGCTCCAAACACGTTCTGTCACTTATTGTCTTCTTTCATTTGCACCTCTTTTTTTTCAAATGCTGTAGGGCTTCAAGAGCTGTAGAAGACGCATATAGACCGCACAGACGCACGGATAAATCTTTCATGCACACCACGCAGATCATCTCGGGATCACAAGGTGACGCCACGCGTGAAAACTGGTAACGACTGGTTCGATATCACGTGAAAGACACGCAGCTTCATAATGCTATATAACCGAGTCCTGAATTTTATGTGACGGAGCAGATGATGAGAAGGAATGACCTATAGAATTGCATACCAATCTTATCGTGTGCTCTATTCGTTTAAGCATATAAAACAAATCGGGTGCTTGAATTTTTTTCTGTCCTTATATTATCCCTTTGGTGTCATTTATCGTATCAGAAGTATCTCTATCTATCTGTACTGTCGATACCTTTTCTTTCACCTCTGCCATTTGTTTCATTCACTTTCAGTTTGGAGCACAACCATTGATTGAGTTTCAAATTGCCTATTTCTGAAAAAACACACACACATACAAACAAACTGTATTGTAACATTACCCTAAGTTCTATCACGTTAGTTTGTCACATTTTTTCCATTATGACCCACGCGCCTCTCGTTATCGAGACATTAGCGGACTCTACCTCTGCAGTCTCAACGTCAACTGCGGACGTATTGGACCGTTACACTTACTGTAAGAAACTGCGTGAGAATGTGAGGTATATTCAGGTACGCGAGCGACCCGCTATATATATCTGCTCAAAATAATATGTAAGTACGAGGCCTCGGACAGCTAATCTGCGCCGCGCGAGGTGTTGTTCTGATATGGCGCGGCCTGTTGCGGTCATCGCGGGACCAGTAAGATCAGAGTGCTCGTCCATTGTTTCTGACAGCCGGAAAATTGCCTTATTCAATTTATGAATCGGCAGCCTGTCCCTCTGGGCTCTGTCCCAAGCAATCTTTGCAGCGATGAATATGACAAGTAGATCGTGAAGGACATCATAGCCTTTGTTGCTGCAAACACATGTCGAGCAAGGATTACTGTCGCGCACCCAAAATATTGGCCAGATGATTCGCTCACACTTTTCGCATTCACAGTTCATCGTAGTATCACTCAAAGAAGGCATGTTCAACAACGCAAATGTGGTCTTCCGTACCAAGTTCGTTGATGATGTGTCGACGGTCTCTCGTACGGTTCCAAAATCGCGTGCTCGGTAAAGAACAATCGGAGTTGCGCAATTTTTTACTGCAATAGGAAAAACTTGGCAGTGTGCAAAAATCGCTGCAAAACCAATGATGCGCTTGCTGTAATTGCTAATCGATTTCTTGATCAAGATAATAGATCTGTTTGCATTGGAAGTGGTCTTATGAAGAAAGACTTTGCTCAGGCATTAGTTGTGTCTGTTGTCTGCTTATAAAAAAGACAACGCTCATCTGCAATGACTGCTATCAACGTGATGGCTTCCGAAAATCATAAGAGTCGTAGGTGATTTGAATGTTATCCAAGAATTTGTTGATCGCAACCTTCAGCATTAGCAAAACATCAATAGTCTCTACATGGCATACGGATACATTGCTTCCTGGTCGATTGTAATCTGTAGGGTTTATCTGCATACACGCGCGTATTACAGGAGCTGCCTCAGGAAACAAGGACCTCAAAAATGGGTCTTCGGTGAACATGGACTTTACCGCATCGGTGGACTCGAGACGGTAGCTCTTCTGCCCCTTCTTGTATTTCTTCAGTAACTGGTGGTCAGTGCTTCCTTGGACAAGGTCTTGAAAGTGTTAACAATCGAACCGAGTTGCAACTTATTCAATAAGCATGTCCAGCAATACACTTTGCACCTTTTCGAGTAAGTTTAAAATCTTGATTGCTTCGGCGCGCACGACGTGTGGCTCCTTTACTTTACCGATAGCATTAGAATTATCGAAGATGTTCAAGAGAAACCCAATCAGATCCAGACGACTAGCGTAACATACGATTCCTGGGTTTGCAGTTCGCTCACCGTGCTCTAGACACTTCACAATCATTCGCCGCATAATTTCTAGAACAAAAGCACTCTCGAACTGCAGTGGGCCTCCTCGACCTGGGTTAGTAACTGCCATCCAACACAATAACGCCATGGAGCACATTGACTGCATTGATGCGATACAGGTACGAGACATTGTGCAAACTCGGAAGATTCGTATTATGTTGACAACGCATGCCTCACTCGCTTGAGAACGAGCTCTGTCGTTCAGGTAGTCGCAGCACTTTGCGGAAATTTGCATCTTCGCTACTCTGTCCAGCAAGATCTCAGAAAGAGGCCGAGTACGAGGGTATGTTACTGGGTTTCGACCTGTTAGAGCTTTTAAAACGACGGCAATGGATCATATATGCAGATTCAAACTTGGTGGTACACTGACATTAGTTACCTTCAGGAACTTCCGACTTCCTACCCCTTGATTCACAGTCTTGATCCATCGTTTCCCCTTGTGACTCTCAACTTCCATTGGTGCAAGGTCGACCTTTTTAGAGGCACTTCTTCGTACCCTCCGACCGGTATCTGCACGTAAAGACCCAACTTCACATCTGATACCCGGTTATCATAAAGAGTCCTTCGTCCTGCTAACTGGACTCGAACCTCATCGGGCAGACATTAATTGTTTAATTAAAGAAAATGTCAAAACAAGGTTAAATATACCTTTGTCTGTTGACAAAATTCTCAAAAGTTTGGGCCCGCCAGGTCTAGTCGAATACCGGCTGGGTCCATGAAGTCAATGCCTAAAATTGCATCTTGACCCACCGTTGGGCCCACCCACACCTTAAAGATGTATACCAAGTTCCCATTTAGAGTGACCTTGATACGGGTGCGTCCTTCCGTGGTGTACACGTATTCCCCGATACCAACACATTCTTGGCGCTCACTTTCGTCAATCTGGCAGCCTACCTTACGAGCAAAGGCGATATCCAAAATGGATATCTCGGCACCAGTATCAAACAACAAGTTAGCTCGATTGTTTTTAATCTTCCCAGAGGCCTTGGCCTGTCCAAACCATATCGTAGGAGCATGGTACTTCCAATACCCCCTCGACTCGCCCGGCAGTAGGTCCAACTCCATTACTGCATTTTCCCAAACAAAATCGTTAGATGCACCGAAAGAAGCAACATGGACCCTAGGGGTAAATTTCAAACTTCGATATATTTTTCATCTAGTTATCCTGAATGTCCCTTCCTCCCTTGGGTTGATTTTCCACATATGCAAAAGTGCAACAATTAGAACGCTCGGCTCGTACCAGATTCAAACCTGGCGAGCGTCCCAATTTAGCATCTGCCCGACCTTCTCCGGCAACATCCCAGCGTGTTTGGTCGGGTTGTACCACTGATGGATCAAGTTATATAATTCTTCCATCGGGCACTTCCCGACCTCGTGGATTTCTCTACACCCTCGACATACGAACAAGCAACGATCTGATGGATGGCCCTTCTTCCCACAGCGATCGCAGGTCAGCCTCTTCCATCAACAAAAGTCTCCATGCTTCCTGAACCCACAATGGGCACATCTGACACTTGAGGTTGCCGACGCCGTGCGAGGTCCCTGATCCTTGGTCGAGGGTCAAGACTGGTCGTTCTCTCTGATGGGTCGGTCCCTCGGGGTCCTTGGCCCTAGGTCTTTCTCCGCTTCCGTTGCCATGAGGTAGACCTTCCTCACGTTACCTTCACTATCCGAACTGTCCAAACTAGAGTCTTTGGAGCTTTATTCCTCCAAGGTTGCTTAAACTGCATGAACAGAGCAGCGGTTCAACTCCCTTGGCCGATCAGGGGGTAATCGGTTCTTTCTGACGAAACTTGCCTGACCCAAATAGCATCTTGCCTCGTGAGGCCTTCGTCCGTTGACGCTCCCTCAGTACATTCCCCAACTCTTCCACCATCAGCCAAACGTAACACGGTCAACTGGTCCGCCAAGTCGAGGTCGTCCAAGGTCTCGATGTACTGTTCGACATGTTCCTTTTGAATCTTGGGCGGTCCATCCTTGATCTTGATCTTTTCTCGAAGTCCAATGACATTCAGACGTTATAGGTAGTCCAGCGGGGATTTGTCCGACCTTTTCTTCGCGTGTTAATATTGGCGGGTCACTGGCACCCGCAAACCACAGAAGTGCATCTGGAATTCCTGTAGTAGGTCCTTTAATTTCCACGCACAGAGCAACCTAGTTGACGATACCAGTTCTGGGCAGTTCAAATCAATAATTCTCTTAAATTTAGACACTTCTCCCCATCTGGCACTTGGTCCTCGTGAACGCGGTCTTCACAGTGGTCACCCAGCTGCGTGTTCGGTCTTCATCTTGGTCTTTACCATGAAACCCCTTGAGATACGAGGTCGCTGAGAGCTTGATACGAGGGACCATGTTGGGCAACCTGTCCCAGGGTGGCATTGGCCATTCTCACCAGAGGTCCATTGAGGTCCATTTCATCTGGGTCGTATTCGCATAAAACGACCGATTCCATCTCCACGTCGATCATCCCTTCATCTCTTGCAACTTGCATGCCTGCACTTGGGACCAGCTGGGCCGTTGACCTTTGCACCCTCTGTCGTCCTCTGGCTGCACTTTCATCGATGTGTGTTTGCGGTACTTGGCGTTCTTGTAAGAATTTAGCCTTCGCCACGTCGAGTATGCCTGTAAATTACCTGCCGGGTTGGTAAGCACTCCACCCCTGGCTGCTTCGTCACGTGACGAGGTATAATTCGGTATTAGTCTTGGCTCATTTCTGATTGGTTGAAAACTCGACCTATCAGAAGCCCGACTTCCCCTTGACTGTACACAAGTTGCCGTTTCGAGAGCAAGCTGCTCTTCGCTCGAGCCTTCAGCAGTGGCATGCTGGTCGGTCTTAGTGGCATTGGGCCCACGTGACTAGCGACGGGCGACCCTCGCGACGATTCTTTTGCAGGGACCGGAGGACCCTGAGGCAGGGCGGTCTGTGATAGACCTCGCGTAGATCATGGGTCCTCGGTCGACCATTGGTCTCGAGGGTGGACCTCAATATCTTGAAGTCATCAGACGGTGCTTTTACGGCAGTCGCAAGAGGCAAGCCGAGTAGTACTGGGGTTGTTCCCACAAGAATCCCCAAACGTTTGTGAAGGGTTTCTAGCGTGGTCTTGATATTATTAAATCTCAGGTAAAACAAGTCTTCAGAATCGAACATTCCTGCAACCATACACACCTCGCGAAGAAGAGTAACGAGTCCGGTAATCGCGTATGTCACCGTCCTCAGCTTTGGAAGGGTCGACACAGGTCCACTGAGCTGACCCAGCAGTTGGATCTCGAGGGCTCTGGTGACGGGGTCACTCTCCAAGAACGCGACAAGCTTGAGTCGATGGTAGGCCATGGTCATGTCCGCATCCGATCAGGACAAGGGTCCTGAGGTCGAGGGGCCTACCGACTTGGTGTCACCTGGTGCCTTCATCTAGGGCTTAGTAGGCTTGGACATAGCGATCATTTTTTGTAGTTTTTGTATGTTCTTAGTTTTGGGGACAATAGTCAATCGGTTTGCACCTTCGCCTGATGGTCGTCTGGGGCATGATAGATATCATGACCTAAGGTGTCCTCAACGAGTACATAGGGAGGGTATTTCGGTTTCTCTTCAATAGGTTCAACCTTGACCATGTTCAACGGGCCTCTTCCAAGGCCCGGTCAGTCCTTCGATCCTTTCTTGTTTCATATTGTAGTCACAGGCGATCGATCTTCCAGTGACCCTTCGGTCTTTTCCTCAATCTTAGCTTGAACTTCCTCATCTTCTTCGGACTCGCAGTGATATCCTGCGTCTTCCAAAGATTTGGGCACGCGCACCGTTGTGGTGTAGTGGGTTCTCAAAACTGCGTATTAAGACCCCAAGCCACTCACTGTGCTGGACTGCCGACTGTCGGAGAGGGTACCCCGATGCCACGTATAGACCTTCTCTCACCTTGTGTACCCGTCGGCTGGAGGGTTTCACTCTTCGGGGGACTTGGTTGAGATGTGATGTCGGCCTTAAGAGAGGTCGACCTTTGGGTGCCTCGAGTGGATATACTTCAATTGAAAGGCGGATAGGTGTCCATTCGGTCGACTAGGTCGAGGGTGGACTTATAACCAAACTCTTCACGGGAGGTGCTCAACCCTAGCCTTCTCCATGATGTCTCAGGAGTATTAAACGCCTTGCCTTTACTTGCTCCCGGACCACTAGGGTAGGGAGACCGCTTCCGACAGCGGGTTGAGTTGGGGGGGGGTGCTACTCGGACGAACCCGCAGACCAAATGTATCCTGGGGTTCTACTCGCACTTGGGTTTTACCACACTGCTGTCTTCGACGAGGCCAAGATGTATTCCTTCCCGGAACAGGTGGGTAGACTTAGTAGTTACCTAGGAAACACGACGGAGGTGTGCTATATGGAGCGTAAGCTGAGTAGTATTTAATATGGTCCTATCTTTAAACTTCTTTACTCTATCCTTATTCCCGAGACCTGGTTCTTGATTCTGCTTGTCGAGGGACCGAAGGGTCTACCAATGAGAGACTAGGGTCTACCAACGTGGGACCAGGGTCCACAACGAAAGATTAGGGTCTATCAATGAGTGACCAGGGTCCACCACAAAAGACCAGGGTTTACCAACAAGGGACCAGGGTCCACCTCGAAAGACCAGGGTTTACCAACAAGGGACCAGGTTCCACCACGAAAGACCAGGGTCTACCAACGAGGGACCAGGGTCCACCACGAAAGACCAGGGTCTACCGACGTTGGACCAGAGTCTATCAGCGAAAGACCAGGGTCTACCAACGTTGGACCAGGGCCTATCAACGAGGGGCCAGGGTCAACCTCGAAAAGACTGGGGTCCACCTCGAGGAACCGCGGTCCATCAGACTAACCTCGTATAACTCCTCTGAATGGAGCACGCTTAAACCGTACATTCTCCTCATCCAACGGTCGTCCCCCGTCCCTTTTTAGCGCCCCGTCTTTTTTGTCCTTTACCTAATGGTCGCTCCTCTTTGGTGGGTCCCCTTCTCTTTAACCCACCGGTACTCTGGCCTACCAATTCATGAACGCTTCCACCGCCCTTTACTTGATGAAGTGCATGATTGCTTTTAAACTGCTGGCCTCTACTTGATGCAGTGTATACTTGCTTTCTAACTGCTGGCCTCTACTTGATGCAGTGTATACTTGGTTTCTACTGCTGGCCTCTACTTGATGCCGTGCATACTTCCTTTCTAACAGCTGCCCTCTACTTGATGCAGTGTATACTTGCTTTTTAACTGCTTCCATTTACTTGATGCAGTGCATAATTCTTTTCTAACTGCTGCCCTCTACTTAATGCAGTGTATACACGCCACGGTGGCACGGCGCACAAAATTACCCGATGCCCCTGAATCGATCAAAATGATCCATGGCTTATCATAGCCCTTAATCGTCCCTTCGACGACCAGGAAGCCTGGCTTGCTTCTCGTTCCGTTTTTGAGACTTCGGGTCTCTTTGGGGCTGGGCTTTGTTTACTTCTACCTCCTAGAGGCTCAACAGAACTCAGTTCTTCCCCAGCAAGGCGCCCCGCGCCTACTGACATCCGCTGTTTCCCCGCGGCAAATTAGAGGGTACGCCCATGGGGCGTCGGCCCTTCAAGGCCAAATATGCCTTTTTTGCAAGGCATTTTGCCATTAAATGTCCTGTGCTCTTGCAGATATAGCATCTGCGCACAATGTGCTGCACCGCAGCTTGAAGCTCAGCTTCTTCATCCTCCACTTGACTACAGTCCATGCAAACCGACCCATCAGGCAAGTAGTTATAAGCGGCAGGCCTACGGCCTAAAATTTGGTCTCGGCATTCCATGCCACTCCAACAGCTTCCTCGACTGAGGACGGGTTTACCCGGAAGACTTCCGTTCTGGCAACGCCAACTCGGAGGCCTTCCATAAAGACCGTGACGGTCACTACCTCAGGCATAGGGTCTATGACCATGGCAGCAATGAGAGCTCTCAACTCTTGTACATATACCGCAAGCTCACGCTTGCCTTTGCAACACGCCAAAATTGCGACCGACTACAGTGTGCTTGGTTTGACGGTGCATACTTCCGGGTCATCTGAACTTACATATTGGCCCATGTTGGAAATGCATCTTGCAATGATGCACCACATGTGAATGCCCACTGTTTGGCTAAGCCACCTAACTTGCCCGTGCCCAGCTGATAAAACCGTATCCCGTTTGCTCTGCGAAGTTAAGCAGCCTCAAGCTCGGGTAGTATTCGGGTGGGTGACCACCAAGGAAGTCCGGGTGCTGTCTACCTCTTATATAGAATAAATGAAAGATGTGAGTTTTCCCTTGTTTTACGTTGTTTTGAATGTTTGAGAATGCGTTATCACGTATAGTTGATGTTTGTACCAAAAAAAAGCCGACTCAACGTCGGAACCAAAGCATAAGGTTATCATCTTCTTTGCCGTCGAACTTATCGACTTCCATTTGTATGGTTTTGGTCAGCAGGAACTTCTTGCGCCATAGTCGCTATGGGTGAAGGCGCAGAAGAAGGCATCTGTGCCTTTACATGCTTGACTAGAACTTCATTATAGTCTTGAAGTATATGAATACGCTTGTTAATCTCTTCTTCTGCCCTGGGCGATGAGGTATTCCACGCCCTTAGGGCCAAGGATAGGGAGCAACTTTTGCAACCCTTCCTGTTGTGCCTGTGACAAGTCAATCGCTGACATCTTATCGATGTCCATTCTCACACAGAGAAGTAGCCGCAAACCCAGGTGTAGAATTGACTACAAGTGCTACCAGGTGTAGCCGAGCTACTGTAGCCAAGCTACTTATGCACTATGTGCAGAGGAAGACAAGCTCAGAGAGCTTCGACGTCTTAGGTTGCTTTACCCTCCCAAGGCTAGCTTCACAAACTTATGCTTTTTGGTTGTAAACAACTACGTCTCCAAGAGACGAGTATCAAAGATACAGATTTCTTATAAAGGAATAGAACGCTCTAGCACGTATGCTATTCAGAGCAGATTTAAAACTAATTTATTTATGTTTATCTTTTTAGCACTAAATTTAGAAGCACTTAAGTGCTAGTTACTATTTATTTGGCTCTGTAGCCTTTCAATATGCAAACATGTATGGTCACTATACATAGTTAAGTATAGTGACCACGTGGCACGATGCGATCCTTCGTACGTTATGTAAGGTCGCACCAATCTTTCACTGTAATTAAGGTACAGCCACACATACCTTATTGTGAGAGAGCTGAAGTATATCTCTTCGATTCTCTCACTCAGTATAGTACCCAATACTTCAACTCACGCACAATTAGGTAATGTGTGTCAGCATTACAATAATCTTTATTAGATTCTAAAGGTATTTTTATAACGCATAACCCACTTCGTAATTATCACCACACAAAGCTATTTAAACGAAAGATACCATGTCGTTTGGTCAGCCCGTGCAAAGTGGCGGGTATTTAAACCCAAATAATGATTATACCATAGGAGAAACTATTAATGACGGTATTCAAGATCTGGCCTGGAGCCCTACAAGCAATGTGCTGGTATCTGGTAGCTGGGACAATTACGTTCGCTGCTGGGAGGTACAGCAACAAGGCACGCATTTCAATGCAATTGCCAAAGCGCAAATTACGCACGAGGGGCCGGTACTTTGCACGGCATTTAGTGGAGTGCGTCTGCACAGCAAATATTTTGGGCTTGCTTATAATTTCCTGATAGAATTTTTTGGGACGTAGGATGGTAGCGCTGTGTTTTCTGGTTCGTGCGACAAGACGGCTAAGATGTGGGTGCTAAATGGACCAATGCAGGGCCAGCAGATTGCTGCCGTAAGTAAAGAAATATTAGCAGGCTGAATTTAAGGACTAGTGGGTCAAATCTTGCTTACCTTTTGCTGCTTTTGACAGCACGACGCACCGGTCCGCAGCATTGCTGCTATTCAGGAGGCCAACTGCGTGGCCACTGGCAGTTGGGATAAGACGTTAAAGTACTGGGACACTAGATCACCGACCGCTATGGCATCTGTGCAGCTTTCAGAACGCTGCTACGCTATGGACGCCAAGCATCCATTGCTCGTAGTGGCTACAGCCGACCGACAAATTCACGTTTTTGATATTCGCAAGCCTTCGCAAATCTACAAGTCTATTCAGTCTAATCTCAAATTTCAGACGCGGACAATTGCGTGCTTTCCAGACGCTTCAGGTTTTGCGATTGGATCGATCGAGGGACGCTGTGCTATCCAACACGTTGAGGACAAGGACAAAAGGTATGTTATGACTTTGCGCTCTGTCGACTGAAGTTGAAGTACTTTATTTTACCAACGCTGCTTTGTTTTATATTGTGTAATGGGGCAATTGAAGGAATGACTTTGCGTTTAAGTGCCATCGCGACGGATCGGATATATACCCTGTGAGCAATATTGCCTTTCACCCGTTCGGCACTTTTGCCACAACTGGCGGCGATGGCACGTTCTGTTTCTGGGACAAGGACGCTCGTCAAAAGCTAAAAGCTTTCAACAAATGGTAGTATTGTGCTGAAAGCTTGCTTGCCAATCAAAGCGTAACAATGATTTTTTAGACAGAATCTTGAAACGGTCTAACACCAGGCTTTGCGTGTTTTTAATCCAGCAACCAGTCAATCACGGCCGGCAAATTTAATGCGCCCGGAGACATCTTCGCGTACGCATTGTCGTATGACTGGTCCATGGGTGCCGAGAAATATAACCCAAGTCATCCGAGCGTCATCCGACTGCACAGTGTGGCCGAGGCTGAAATTAAGCAGAAAAAAAAGTCAGGTACTGGATCGCGAAATTCGTTTTAGAAGTATAAGCCACGGGCTCCCAGCAGCACATCCGTTGGGGCGTGGCTTTTTGTGTTTGCATGTATCATGCGGCAACCCTTGCTGTTTCTGTCACAAATTCTTTAACTTAATAGTTTTTGTTATCGTCTTATTGTTTGCGTTTGCTAGCCGCTAGATAAAGTAATGATCGAACACGCCGCCCACCGTTCGCGCTCAACCTCTGTTTGTCGCAACAACATTTGAAAGCTGCATATCGTTCAAGTTTTTGTGACAACATGAACCGGTGCGAAAGCAAGCCACGACATGGTCTTTACACGGATAACATTTTGACTGCAGAAATCCAGTGTCTATGTGTGTGTCGTGTTGCTTAATGATTTGAAGCAAAAACTTACACTGGTTGTTTTGTGAACATTATGCATGCAATTAAGTGCTGTGTATTATGATGGTGCTCCTTGACGACCCAGCGCCCGCGCAGCTTCTTGTAGTCCACCTTTTGCCGCCAACTGGTAGTATCCCACTGCCTTCTTACGATCAGTTAAATTTCCAGACCTTTTTCTCTCGAGCAACTGTGCAAGACATAATTGCGCCTTCGCAATGCCTCCTTCTGCAGCTAAAAATATACATTGCGCCGCCTTCGCGTAGTCCTGCTGAATACCGCGTCCAAGGATATAGCACCTCCTAAATCAAATTGCGCCAGCGCATTGCCAGCTTCCGCGGCGCGGCGAAAGTTTTTGACTGCTTGCTTAACACTTTATCAACGCCATGCCCATGAAGATAAGCATTGCCCAATGCGCGGTGCGCACCGGACGTATCCTGCCGGGCCGCTTGGCGATAGAGCTGCACAGCCTTCTTGAAGTCCTGACTAACGTGCAGCCCCTGGGCACACATGAAGCCTAGATCGTAGCAAGCCGCCGTATGACCGCTATGTGCTGCTTTAGTCCATTAATGCAGCGTCTGTCCAAGTTGCGTGGAGTCGCATCAGTACCTTGGAAAAAGAGTTTGCCGATCTCGTGACAGCTACCGTCGTGACCGGCGTCTGTCGCCTCCTGCAGCAATCGAGTGGCTAGCTTTACATTGCGCATGATTGCTTCCTTTCCTGTAAGATACACACTTCCTGATGCCCATTTTGCTCGTACATGGCCCATCTCCGCTGCGTTTATCCAGTGCTGCAGTGGACCATGCACGGACGAAGGGCTGCCCATTTGCCATCCGCTTTGCCCAATAGATACTTGACACCCATAGCAAACTCAGTGTCGCCGTAGGGACCAAGTAAGGAGTAAGACTGAGTCTGAGAAGACGAAAGTGACGCACATAAGTGGTAGTGCTGAGCGTGACGGTGCAACCTCTGGAATTGCTGCCGGAGCTGGAGCATTTTTTGTTGTGTTGACGAAGCGAAATTTTGACGAATGAGATGTCATATATTATAGACAATTGCCCTACAATAATCAATAGCAAACGCACTGAAATGATGGCTTACTTTGTATGCGAGCGGTGGTAAACGGTTTACAGTTCTTGTTAAAGTTTAGGCTTTGAGCACGTGTTTTTATTTATTATCATGAAGCAGCGTAATTTGTTAAAAGTGACGATGTGCTTGGTTGCAGGCGAGTAAAAATGCTTTAAATTAATTGTATATGCTGCAAATTGTGCATTATATTTTCTAGGGACGCGTGAAGCACTTGCTGAAAGAACAAAAAGACATGGGCCAAGTGGGCAAGTCAGCTGTACTTTGTTGTGGTAATATCGAGCATTTATAGTAGGAGGAAGGCAGTGAACTCATGGCTGTGTGTATTTCCAATAAAGCATTGGCGGTGCAAATTTTTGTAAAGGACCTTGTGACTGAAATGCATCAGCAGCTGACAGAGGGTGATGAGATGACACCGATGGAGTTGTTAGTAAAGATTACAACAAAGTGCACCAAGATTTTATTGTTTTGACAGCTGGCGTTCTGAATTTGTGCAATTAGAAAGAGAATCGTGTTAGCGAGGGAAAAACTTAACTTTTTGCACGACAAAGTTACTGCTATTGATGAGAATGCTGCCAAGTACCAGAAGCCAGCACGCTGTGGCAAGAAGAGAGCACAGTTGGATGCTGCGAATAAGTGAGTGGACTGCATAAGTAGCATTTGATGAAGCAGCGGAAGTTACATTCTAACGGTTTAGGCTGTTACTAGATTATCAACGAAGAAAGCACGCGCAACAAGGACGGCAAAGAAATCAAATTTTTTATCAAAGACTACAGCAGCCAACCCAGCAGTCTCGGCAGCGAAGACGTCTACAGCTGTGACAGCTAAGAAGAATATTACTTTAGTATCACTGAACCCTAAAGCACAATCAGTTTTGGTTAAAGAAGACGAAGACTACGACGAAAGTGATAGCGATGTATGAATGACTTTTTAATTCATACGAATGAATCAGTATGGTGTTTTGCTGAGCAATAACGGCCAAGGTCTAATATCTATATAAAACAACATCTAGCTCTGTGCCAACAGGTTGCATTTGAACCATTCTGATCTATTTTAAGCTCTCTTGTCAGTCGACGTGGCATCCAGCAAAGATTGCCACGTTGGGCCAAAGAGCAACTCACGCGAAGGCGATCGACGAATACTTACTTGCGGAAAACTCGTTACAATTGGCGCAGGAACTGTTCCATTAGTAGTAGCTGTAGTTGGGTGAGGTGAAAGAGGTGGCCGTGCTGTCGGAACCTGTGCCTTCGCCGCTGTTGGTGACATCTGCTTCTCATTAGGAAAGAAAAAGTTATGCATGCGAGTGACAACGTCACCTGCCTCTTTTTGCTGAAGAACAAATGACAGATTTAAATCTTCAGCAGACTCACTGAGCAGCAAAACGTCGTAGTTCCCAAGTACATTGAATACGCAACCAAGCTCCGCCAGTGCCTTACGCAAGCCACGTCCAACAATCGAAACCACCGAGCACTCCTCAAACACACGCACCTCAGAGTGTTCGTTTAGCGATTCTAGCAGCTGCTGGAATGGCGCGCCATCAATGCCACCAGGGATGTGATCCAAGGTCACCGCCACAGAAAATTGTGATGTCGCTATAAGATCCACCGAAATACCATAAGCTTCAAATGGGGAAAAAACCTTAGCCAAAAATCCCGACGTGCCGCACATGTCAAATGCTGTGATGCTAAGCGTCGTCATATTCTGGCGCTTCACTACAGCTAAAATCTTGGGGCTTCCGCCACCAGCCTTGTCCGAGTCAGTAGCAGGATGGATGACAGTCTTTGCACCGGTCGGATCATTAGTGTTACGAATCTCTAGTGGTACCCTCGCCCATTGCGCAGGGATAATGCAGCGCGGGTGCAAAACCTTGGCACCCATTGCAGCCAGCTCCTGCGCTTCACGGTAGTCCAGACTCTTAATAAGACGAGCGTCAGGGACGTAGCGCGGGTCGGAGGTAAACATGCCATGCACGTCCGTCCAGATTTCGTACTTCAGGGCTCCCAGCAGCGCCGCAAACAACGATCCTGACGTATCACTACCTCCGCGTCCCAGCACACACGTCGCACCCGTGATAGTGCTCGCAATAAATCCCTGAGTAAGCACCACACGCTTGCCATTTGCTGCATTTTCAGCCTGTTTGAGGTCCCGACGGGGGATGACTTCCGCCTGCAGATACCGGTCCTCTTCGGACTTAGCACTAGTCGCGTCGCTTATTAAGAGTTTTCTGGCGTCAACTCTTTCCACATCCACCATTTTATAGTAAGACATGATGCACCACCCCAAATGCGTCGAAAGCAACTCACCAAAGGCAAGCACCCGCGCTTGAATACGAGGTGACGCCTCCTCAGTCAATTTAATGCCCTCTAACACCCGTACGAGGTTTTGAAGTTCCTGTAGGAGTGGGTGTAACATCTTAGGCAATAGCGGGTCGATAGGTGAAGTAAAGAACGATGACCTTTCGTGGCTGTGACCGAGCACGCTGTCCAACCACAACTTCTGCCACTGGTCGCGCATGTTCACGCTCTCAACACCGACCAATGTAGGAAATAATCCTACCTCGTAAGCCAGTACAAAATGTTGCTGCACAATATCGGTAGCCACTTCAAGGTGGCTGCAGCCACGTTCACTGGCCAGCGCCAGCGCCCTTGTCAGCTTGTTTGTAATCTGGGACAGCGCTGAGATGGTGACCCACACGCGTGGAGATGACGCAGACTCGAGATGAGCATGAACCTGTTCACATATACAGCGCCAACGTGCTGCAGTTGACACGCTTGTGCCGCCAAATTTGAGGACCACCCATGAAGACGAGGAAGCCATAGTCGATATTTAAAAAGATGACAAATGGTGCTTTGCATCCATTCAATATAATAATGGTGAAAATGAGCTCAAATTAGTTGTAATATTTGCAATTATTATTAGCTAATATGCTGAGACATAAAAGTAGAATCAAAGTGAATTCGACGTTACAAAATATTTCCAGCTTTATCGAGTTGCATAAAAATTGTAAGTAAAAATGAATTATAACTTTATACCTTGATGTTACTATACACGCATTCAAAAAGCTTGGTGATCTTGCACACTTTCTTGGATCTTATATAATCGTGCAATCAAAATGAAACGAAGCATAATGCCAGAGAGACCCTCACAGATTTTTGAATGTAAAAGATGTTGAAGATCGGGATAAAGAGTCACGATGTGCGGCACGACATGTCAGATCAAGTTGGTGTCGGCGACCGTTTGCATGTGTATAAGAGGACAGTCGACAGATGAGAGAACTGCAAAGATACGTAAAGAAGCTTGCAGTTACCAACAGACAGGAAGCGCGACATCGGAGTGATGGCGAATGGTAGCGCAGCGACAGTAAGTCGACCTAGTAAGAGCAACAGATACAGAGACATAGTGTGCGAGATAGCGAGCAGAATAGCTAGGACATAACGGCACAGTTTGAATATCAGTTTCCTTTCTACCACATCAAGTGCAAGCTCAACATTGGCTAACAGGTTATGAACGCAAACCCCATGGCTCCTCCGACTGATAGAATGACGACTTCTGCACCTGCAGACCATGGCCACGAAAAGGCCGCCGTTGTTAGAGATGTGTAAGCCAACAAAAGGGGTGCGGGACCTACGAAAGGATACTAACAATGCTGATTGCACTCACGGATCGCATGCAAGCGCTCGAGGCGTCGCAAATGAAGATCGACGAGGACGAGCGACTGCGAGGCGCGATCACCAGTGGCTTTTTTGCGTCAGCGCTGGGACTCGACATTGGCGGTACGACTCTACATCGTGACGCGCTAGGACATGATGCTCTGAGGCAGCCGCGTGTACGTGTTTGCGTGACGCAACCAGGTGACTCGCTATTCCAGCAGTTTGTTCCACAGTATGTCGGTCCGCGACAGCCAACGGGCGCTGATCGACCACAGGCGCCGCGCTATGCGCCAGTGTTGCCTCCAGATTTTGAAGACATTCATGCGCCCGTGCCACCAATGCAGCAGGCACCGACACAAAGGTTGCCGTTGCGTGCCCCGGACGCACACCAATGTAAGCTTATTATTCGCAAGTTTGATGGTACAGAACTGTACCAGGGTCTCGGATCGGGTTTTGCTGACTGGGGTCGCACGTTCTTGCGCCAAGTCACTAGGGTGCAGCAGGCCTGAGGATTTGCATGGGCTGAAGATGTCAAGGTTGACTTGTTGGGATACTACCTAAGTGGGACAGCAGAGCGGTACTACCAAAACAAGTGGACGTTTGGTGGCTCGAAGAAGCCTCTCTCGATCACGCTATGGGCCGGTTGCTACACACATTCAAGACTACAATCACGGCGTCGCAAAGCATGAAGATTTTCACTGCAAGGAAGGATCTTAAGAGATCATAGCCTGAACACTACCTCTATATGGTTGCTGTTTGCGATACCTGCGGTGGAGGTGCAGAAGCACAAGTTCTCGACAACATTGTCCACTATGCGTAGGCTGATCTTACAACAGTTTTGATGGCCAAGTAGAACAATGACCGACACGACTATTTGCGCCAAGCTGAAGAGCTTGCGCATTTCATACAGTCTGTTGAGCTCAAGAACAAGACCGGAAGGACGTTGGGACGCGAGTTAGTTGCCGCTCTTACTGATGAAAGACGTCGCAAGGAGACACGTTCATGCTACAATTGTGGCAAACAAGGTCAATTGAAGATTGACTGCAGGTCAAAAACGAACGTCAACAAGAGCGCTAAGAACGACGGCGAGGTAGCTCTTGCTGTTAATGACGACAGCGACAATGTGAACGACGACTAGATACGCGACAGCGGTGCCAGTCGACACTTGGTGAACGACGATCGCCTGCTGACCGACGCAGAGATTTTCAACGATGTAGTCTCGCTAGCTGATATCGAGAAGGTCTTTATGTCCAAGGTCGGTAATGTAAGACTCTCCGTGGTTGCCAATGGACAAGAAAACCCGTCAAACTCACGGACGTCTATTATTCGCCGAGTCTGGCCCGCAACATCACCAACTATGGCAAGCTTGATCATTAGAGATACAGTCTTAAGTATTCTAATGGAAAGCGAACAGTAGCTCGACGGAGTGATGACCAAGTCTCGTTCGACGTGACGATGGAAAATAGTGTGCTAATCGTCGAGACGGTGAAAAAGAGCGTACGCAAAAAGGAGATAGCGGATGTTATAATGGCTGCCATTTAGGAGAAGGCAGCAGATGAAATGACTTCGGAGATGCATAGTGGCTCTCTGCTACACTTTCATCAACGTCTGGAGCATCTGTCGTACGATGCGATTGAGAAGATCGCGAGAAATCCAAGCTTGGCATCGAGCTGACGGACCACAAATTGATGACATGCATCACGTGCGCACAATTCAAGCCGACAAAAAACAAGCAGAACTAGAAAGACTTTGGACAGAACGCCCTAATCGACCGCATCGGCGGTGCCATCTGCTCGGACCTAAAAGATCCACTAACGCCTGCGGATCGACTCGGAAACCGATATCTGATCAACTTCATCAATTACAAGACCATCTACTGTCGAGTTTTCTTAGCTCGAACCAAAGACGCTGCGGCAAAGAAGTTCGAACACTTCTTGGTGTTCTTTGAGCGATGATTTGAGTGCAGAATCGCGGTTCTCAGAACAGATGGCGGTGGAGAATACCAGAATGTTGATCTGTTCTGCAAATCGACAGGCGTTGCAAGACAAGTGAGTGAAGCGCAAAATCAATAGTCCAATGGGAAAGCCAAGAGAATGCACAGGACCGTTCTAAACATGACACGAGCGATGATCTTCGCTTCTGAATTTCCCCTTACGTTCTGGGGTGATGTCGCTGAATACTCCACGTATATTCTGAACAGGAGCCCCACAAATTTGAATCCTAAGAGAGCGTCGCCGCTTAAAGTTCTGACGAATAAATCGCCGGATTTGCTCAAAATCGTCGTGTTTGGCTCCCACTGTACCTTCTACCGTGATCCAAACAAGAGCACATTCGCGCGCCGCGCTCAAGTGGGCACGATCGTTGGATGCAGTGACGAAATTAAAGGTTTCAGAGTATACACCAGGAAGGAAAACAAGGTCATCACGATGCAGCATGTCAAGAATATTGAAACGTTGTCCGAAGCCCAGAACTGGCAACTGCAACTAGCCCTTGATGACGATGACCGGGCAGATTCAGACGAAGGCACCGAGACACCTGTGAGACGGAGCAGTAGTTTTACTGCGAGCAAGAAGCCCAAGAAGAAGAAACAGTGGACTCGCCAGCCACAAATGACAAGAGGTGCGGCAAAGAAAGCAGTTGCAAGCCAACAAGAAGTAGCTGTCAGCGTAGATGTCGTCATTCACGTGTTTGAAAGAAACTCTCGCAACTATGGCGAAGCAATGAAGAGCAAGAAGAGAAACGAGTGGCAAAAGGCAATGCGTGAGGAGCTGGACGCGCTCAAAAGAAACGAAGTGTGGCGTTTGGCGCTCCGATCAAGCAACAGCAACGTTCTTCACAGTAAATGAGTCTTTAAGACCAAGACGACTGCCGATGGAGATTTAAAAGGGCACAAAGCGCGCCTCGTTGCCTGCGGTAATGAACAAGTTTTTGGCGTGGACTACGCACTAACTTTCGCTGCCGTCATGGACATGACGACAGTAAAAGTAATCTTGGCGTTAGCTGCTACATGGGGCGTCCTGGCTAAGCACGGAGACGTCTCCAATGCTTACGTAAAAGCAGAGAAGGAACAGCATCTCGAGATTCTGATGCATGTTTCCAAGGGCATGACGATTGATACAAGCGAGTTAAAAGAACTGGGGGCAACGAAGATTGAAGATGTCGTACTCGAACTGAAGAAAAGTCTTTATGTCTTAAAGCAAGCAAAGCTATTGTGGAGCCAATTGCTTAACAATCGGTTATTGGAAGCCGGATTTACTCGCTGCATCAGCGACCTCTGCTTGTATTACAAGCGCGACATCGATGGAGTCGTCATCGTCGGAGTCTACGTAGACAATTTGCTGGCGACTGGAACATCCGCTGTTGAAGGTTAACGGTTTTTTCGCGAGCCTCGAAAGTCTTTCAATTAAAGATCTTGGACCAGTGTCGAAGTTTTTGGGGATGCGCGTGACGCGCAACGAAGATCTTGAATATTTTCTTGACCAGGAAAGCGATTGCCGACTTGCTGCGCGACCACGGCATGACCAATGCCAACTCAAGTCGTGCGCCTATCGGGACACATGTTTATGAAGTTCAATGTGCAGACAGCGGACTACTTCCAGACACGGGTGCTCCAGGTCAACCTATCGTTCGTGCTTTTCAGTCTATTGTCGGATTGTTGCTTTGAATAGCGAGGTGCACAAGACCTGACATCGCATTTGCGGTGCACAAGGCAACCAGACAAACACACGAGCCACGGATCCATGACTGCAAATTGACTAAGCGCATCGTGTGTTATTTGAGTGGCACGCGTGGATTGAAGATCAGCATGAAGCCAGCAGTCGAAGAAACTGCACAACCTGTTCTAATGAGCTACAGTGACGCACACTACGCAGCCGACAAGGCAGACAGAAAGTCTTTGACCGGTAGCGTTATCATGCTAAATGGAATGATAATCAGCTGGTGCTCGAAAAAGCAAGGAGGTGTGGCGCTCTCGACAATGGAGTCGGAATTTGTGGCAGCGTCTGAAGCTGGACGAGAGCTACTTGGAGTGAGAGAGACGCTGAGTGTAATTGGTGAGTCGCCTGCACTACCGATGAAAATGCTCATCGACAACCAGGCAGCGATACGGCAGATTGAAGGAGAAGCGTCTTCTACTAAAGCCAAGCACATTGATGTGAGAGTCAAGCACTTATGCGACTACACTCGTCGAGGCATTGTGGTGCCACAATATGTGCAGAGCGACCTGATGCTTGCGGACGTACTCACCAAAGCACTTGATTCAGTCAAGACGGTCAACTTGCGATCACTGCTACACATTGTGTAAGCGCAGTTTAAGTCGCCCACAAGGAGGAGTGTTGAGGATCGGGATAAAGAGTCACGATGTGCGGCACGACATGTCAGATCAAGTTGGTGTCGGCGACCGTTTGCATGTGTATAAGAGGACATTCGACAGATGAGAGAACTGCAAAGATACGTAAAGAAGCTTGCAGTTACCAACAGACAGGAAGCGCGGCATCAGAATGGTGGCGAATGGTAGCGCAGCGACAGTAAGTTGACCTAGTAAGAGCAATAGATACAGAGACATAGTGTGCGAGATAGCGAGCAGAATAGCTAGGACATAACGGCACAGTTTGAATATCAGTTTCCTTTCTACCTCATCAAGTGCAAGCTCAACATTGGCTTACAATAGATCATTATCAGATTGGTGGAGAAGTCGGTTTATAAGACAGATTTCTCTTAGTGGATACGCACTTAAGACTACGTCTACATTGCTTTCTTTTAAGCTACCTTTATAATGTAGATAATTATGTAGCGAGCATTTTAAGTTTCTAGAACGCGCAAAAGATTGTGCTGTATCTAACGCAAAGTCTAGTATAGATTATGAATAAGTGCTTGAGACCAAGGCTATCTTGCGTTTACGAGTGAGTCACTGATGGTTGCTTTCATTTTATTGCGGACACAGTATTGCAATGATTGAGACCTACTGGTGTATTACCGCCTATAGTAAATTAAGCATTAAGTATCATTTGGACTGGTGGAACCAAAAAATGTAGACCAAAAGATGTAGACCAAACAGGTTCACGTGGTTGCTTCTTTTCGTTAATGTTGCACTTAATTTATCCGGCCTGAGGGTTTCATCATTCATAAGGAGCAGCAAAGGCTGGTCGCATATTGTCAGCTTAAGCGTGTATGTTACAAAGCCCTCACATTTTCCCGAAAAGAAGGAATGTACACTAAACGTTTTGCGAAATGCTGCCATTATCGAGCGATTAAATGCAGTTCTTCGCCACGAGGCAAAAAAGATGAAGCAAAAGTATCGTAGGGCGGCACACGAGCACAAAGCCGTCTTCAAATCGCCTGTGGCCTTAAGCGTGATCTTTCGCGTCTTCTAAAGCCGTCATCAAACGTGGTGAGCACCGTGCGCTTGGTATGCTCTTCACTGTCACACTCAGGCATCGGCGACTTAATCACGTGGTCAGCAGTGTGCAAGTGGCACGTTTTCGACGGCGAAGAGCGCGCCTGTCGGAGAGAATCGGATGTTTGTTACTAGCCACGAGGTTCGGAATGTAAGAGTGGCGTCAATTGGATGTCAAATTGTAATGGATGCAGGTTGACTAATGGATTCGTCGAAGCAGCGTAGTGATTTCTTACCACAACCAAACAGCTAAGGACAAGGATCTGAAATGCGTACATACTCTCACGTCTGGCCAAGCTTTTGCCCAATTGTTTAACGCACAAACAGCAATAATTACGAAACTGCAAAAAATGGGTTTTAAAATTTTTTAAAAGAGAGAGAATAATATTTGAATGTGATAATTTTCTAAAGGCTACTTAATTTCTGTCCGCAACAAAAATTGCGACAAGTTTAAAAAAAATATTTTCTCTGTAATTCTAACGATTTATTGATCATTCGACGTGCACCACGTCACATAATCGACCCTCGTTTGGCTGACCAACACGGAGACTCTTCTTTTTCTGTTAATGTAATTTAGTTGTTAAGCAAAAATTCCAACAATCCCTTTATTCACATCAAGTTCGCTAAGACCCCAGGGCGCCAAAGTCACAAGCGCCTCACCAGCGATGAAAAACATTGCCAATCAGCTGTCAAGTCGGCCTCATTAGAAACCATCTTAAACGCCACACCGAAGCCTTGCAGAATCTTATCGGTAGCCATGCCAATAACTGCAAACCCACCTTTTCTTTCTTGCAACACATAGAAGCTTAATGGCAGTTTAGGCTTGTCTCCCGGCTCGGCAGTTTTCTCATCCACCTCATTCATCAAACGTGGACATAAAGACTGGATGCCTTGATGTCGCCACCGCTGTATCACGTGAAGCCTGCCGTCTCAGAAAACTCGATAGTGTACTTACTGAGCACGACTGTCGTAACATTTTTGTACAAAACCCTAGCGTCCTTTATGGCTCCAAAAACAAACTGTCTAAAAGCTTCCTTCTAGCTACAATAGCGATGGTTACGCGAGAGTGCCACATACGTTACCAATCTCACAACTTTCACCATTAGACGTCTCCCGAAGCTCTTTTAGTAAAATAAAGCCATGCTCATTCGTCGCAACGTTCGACTTGCGAAGCTCAAGGCTAGCTGTAAAAGAAATACAACCAGCGGCATATGTGGTCCGAGCCGTCAGTCATTACGAATGTCTGGTGCCATAGCTGCCAGCTTTGCAAAAGCTAGTCGCTGTGTGACCGTAGATGGAAGCCGAGTTCGCCATGGTGCCCTCCCGACGTAGTGAAACCAATTCTTTAACCAAAAGATTAATAAGTGATCATCAGCCAACATTTGACCCCGATAATCGCAACACTGACGTATATTATACGTGCAGAGCACATTGTCTATGCGGCAAAATGGGAGTATCGGATCTCAGCTTACTACGCACGCCAGCTAGTTCAGTAGCAATATATCCCGCACCAAAACCTGCCAGTCTTTTTGGTACTAAGTCTAGATAAAAAAAGTTTAGCGTCGTGCACAACTCCTTGCCTGTCCGTTAGTCATTTGCAATCGGCTCATAAGATATAAATGTCATAATAAGCGTTAAGATCGCACCCCAGGGTCAGGGCAGTCATTGCATTCATTGCCAGCACTTCCTAGCCATCACCTTTTTCATTCCTCTTGTCACTATACTTTGCCGATCTTGCTTGCATCCACGATGAGATTCATTAATTTTTTAAATAGTAGTATCTTATCATTTATGTTCCACTTGTTAAATATCTAACTAAAAACAAGTAAATCTTACGACCGTGCTATAAAGGATACGATTATTATGCTTCACAGTAAAATAAAATGAGCGAGTAATTAGCTACGACAAATAATTTGATGAAATACATCAAAAGCGCTTGGGTCCGCTACCTCTTCCATTCAAATCTTGTCTTTAATGCGTGGTGCGTGCAACTCGTTCGTTCAATTACTTCTTCTATACAGGAAGTTTAGGCAGACTGTCATGTGGTGCAAATAGAATTGTGATTCTCGAGTACCAACTCGCGGTGTATTGATAGGGCTGCAGGTAGTTTAGGCACCTCCAATGTGACCTACTGTGCTTGATAAACATTTATTCCAGCCTCAAAAAAGTTTGTCAGGTATGGAGGGAGTTGCAATGCTCTTTCGGCTTCACTTCCACCGGACCTTGAATTTGTCCAGTTGTACGCTTGCATGTGAAGGTATAGTTCCTGCTCCATCTCTCCCAAAACGATGGTTCGAGCATCTGAGCGGAGGTGATCCAAGCTTCGCAATCGTGTCTTCTTCTGCATATGCTGCAACAAATCTTGGCCGGCTGCAGTAGTTACTCGCTTTTCGACACGGGACTTAACCTCTGCACGGAACGTAGCAGACGTTTGCTCCAGATACAAAGCAAGAGAGTACCCGAAACGAGGAGGCAACGTGCCGATAAGTCCCACTGGATTGGACGCCGTCGGAAGAGGATTCGGCTGGATAGGCACATGTTTGGAAGAGACAGGAGCACTTGTTGAACGTCTAGATGGCGGGCAATACGCGCGCGACCCCTCTGGTCCAGAAATTATGGGCATTGCTACATGCGATGAAGTGCCCGTATGCACGGAAGACGATGTTTTCATAAAAAACGGCGATGGAGCGCTGTTTAGAGCTTGATCATTGGAACGCCCATTATTATTGTCGTTGCTGAGCGCTTGGTGAAAATAGTCGATCTCCAATAGGTTCCAACACACAGAGCACGAACGTCCATGCATGCTGCCCTTGCTGTTGCACGAACCGTAATGGAGAAGCATAGCCTTTGCGTCGTTACAAGGCTGTTTGCAGTTTCCAAGGACCAGCTCGCACCCTAAGCAATGGGTCAAAACTCGGCGCATTACGCAGCAGCCTGCAATGTCACACCCACTTTCACACTGGGCTGCGTGCAGCAGTAACCATAGGGATCCTGCTGTCTCAGGCGCCCTCGCTGGAAAAAATAACGGCGACTGCATTAAATAGTTTCGCTCCAAAGCCGACAACGAAGACCCCGCATCCGAGTTTTGCACGGAGAGCACCAAAATTTGGTGAAGTCGCGTGCGCATCGAGATAGAACCAGAAGGAGGCATGCCTGTTGAAGGTGTCGTCGAAGAATCCAATGAGAACGGTCTCAAGTCTTTATAAGCTATTTTTTTGTTGACTTTGGGGTGATTCGCGGGGCTGAACGTCGATTCGTTACTTTTAGCTATCGACGTATTAATTTGTTCCATTTCGTCATTTGGCAACGGCAGTTGTGTAGTTTGTTGTGATTGGTCGAGTAAATGCTGAGTAGCAACAAGCTCCAGCCCACCTGGCAGCTCGAAATCACGAATAGCATCAAAAAGATTCGCACGATCGTTATCTGAAAGCAGCATGTCCAACTCTGACATTGGTGTGACTTCTGTCGAAGAATATCCCAAATTATCACCGATGGCATCACTGGTTGATTGCATACCAACTTGCGGTGGCTGTCGCTTGTGGTGCACTTGTTGAATGTAATTTTCGCCGATGGAACTAGGTGCGGATCCACAAGCAACTAGGGGCCAATTTAGATCATTCGATTGCATTGATGACGGCAAATCATTCAAACAGCTTCCAACCATGTCATTGTCTAGTTGTCTGTTGTTCATACATCGCCCCAATGTTACTTAGCATTGTAATCTATTCATTACGAACAGATTTGCTCGGCGCAAACGTACCCTTGCAGAAGCTGATCCGGAGTAGGATTCGACGAACTCATTGAGATGTTAAAACTTGCATTTGGATCCAAATCAAACGATTCTGATATAGGCGTTGCGGAGTCAAACGACTTGTGGCGCTGCAGCTTCATCCATCGCTCGGATCCTTTCTTCCTTTTGCTGTTCGCTGTACCAATTACGTATACTTATTGCCGTTAAAGTTCACACCATCACTACATAGGCTTTAGTAATTAGATGACGTACAATTCATGCCGTTGTAGTCGGACTCCATACGCGACAAATTGGTGAGCGACTGCGAGCCGTGGAAACCGCGACGTCCTTCTGTCATCTGCTGCTGCATAAAGTCCATCGATTGGCCCATCACCTGCTGATGTGGAAATTGACGGTGCAACGTGTTCTGATAATCCTGTTGGAATTTCAGCAGTATATCTAATGTTCTGTACCCCTCAAACGATAAATCCTCCCCGAGGTCCACAATATCCACGGAAGGCTCTTGCGACCTGAAACGGTCGGACATCAGATCGTTAGTGCCCGCCGTTTTGCCAATAAGGTCGTCGACGGTTTCTAGACCTGAGAGCGATGGACAAGACGCCGAGTACGTGAGTCCCGTTTGGCCTGTGCCCTGGCTGGCACCCAAACAGTTTGTGGCGCCGTGTTGCGCGCGCTCGTCACCGTCGTTCGAAGAAAAGAAGTAGGCCGATTCATGAAGCTCCGTGAGCTCACCGTTTCCATTACGAGACTGTGGCTCTTCTGGCCAAGCCATCATGGTGAGCAAAGGCTTATAGGGCCGCTAAGATCAGCAAGCAGGGACGTGTGACGCTTGTTGGGTTACACCGAATTTCTAAAGTGAGGGCGATGGCAGGCGTCTGTTACAAAAGAAAAGACCTGGTGATGAGCTTGTTTGTACATTGTCAGGACGGACCCCAATTGGGGACTTTTTTGTTAAAGTTTGCACCCTTAAAAGCATTGCAAACTGAAAGAAATAGGGTAAATCGAAAAATAATGGCCATTGATTCAACAATAGTAAACAACTCTTTTTAACCAAAGATCTGGTAGAACTTCTAACAGTGCAGTGCTTTTAATCAATCGTAGGTACGGGTAATTGTATGCAATGTCGTCCTATAGCTGCACCACTTACTACGCGTGACAAGGTGATTCTATTTTTTCCAGCTCAACGAATGAGGTTTCTGTCGTTACTGTGACTTTTAAATCAAGTCGGCCTGCAGTGGGCACAAAAAGTTTAACGTTTGTAGTGCTCGATAAGCATATTTTTCGCACGCTGTTTCGTTTAGTAGAACAACGCAAACATTGTTATTCAGTCTTTGCAAGTTGCATGATCAGAAAAATTAAAATTAGATTTCACTGGCAAATCAACTTTATTAATTGTGAATGATCGCGTCGACTCCAAACAGTCAAGTCGATCTCAAGATTTGATAGCTAAAAAGGCTTCTTAACGAGTAAACTGTTGTTGTCATCGTAAACATGTGAATTCTCTATAGATCGCATATAGTATTGAAATAATTGTGTAAAGAGCCACTTAAAGGCGTTTTTAAATCACGCACAGCTTTGTGGATACACAAAAATGCCACCTTGTCAATATGTTAGTTGCGACCACCAAGGGATATACGGCTAACCATGTGCAGGCGCATCGATGCGTTCCATTATAATCGGCTAAATGCGAGCTAAAGTGTATTTATATACGAGTAACATCTACCAAGATAGTGTTCATGAATTGTACCTAAATTAGTAATATTTGTTGAAGCTTCTTCTTATTGGCTGGTATAGGCATTATAAGCCAACACAAGTGGTCCAACTAACGATAATACTTCTGTTTAGCTCTATTGAAGTATCCCAAAAGAGATGGGTCGGATATTTAGGCCATAATTATAAATATTAAACTTCTCGTTTTCGTGAAAGCTTCTGTCCTAAAAAAAACTTGATAGACAGGTGGAATAGCTGTAGCCGAGCTACTGTAGCTACGCTACTTATGCACTACGTGCAGATGCACTATGTGCCGAAGAAGTAGTCAGACTACTGTAGCGAAGCTACGTATGCACTATGTGCAGAGAGAGACAAGCTCAGAGAGCTTCTACGTCTTAGGGTGCTTAACCCTCCTAGGCTAGATCGTAAGCTTGTGCCTATGGTTGTTGTAACCGTGTCTCAAAGAGGCTAGTATCAATGATACGATTCCTCAGAAGGAAAAAAAGCTCAAGCAGTGATGCTTATATAGCGGGTTTGAAAATGATTTATATTTATGTTTATCTTCTAACACTAAATATAGAAGCACCTATCCTATACTTTGTGCTAGTCACTTTTACTGGCTCTAATCCGTTTATTATTATGCAAATATGCATAGTTAGTATACTTTATATAAGTATGCTGACCACGTGGCTCTCTGCCACGATGTTTCCCTTCGTACTTCAGGTACGGTCACATCACCTACTTTGTACCCAAGGTACAGCCACACCACATTGGTGTGGCAGGTGTGTATGTAAAATACTTACCTTCGTGTAACCCCGTTACAACAGCGGATGGCAGAAACCGTCCGCGACAGCAATTTCTGCGCTACGTTGCCCTTCTTTGGTAGAAACGAGCAACATAGGACCACCACAAAGCTCATTCAGCATGAGCTTAATGAGACAAAGGAATAGGCTCGCCTTGCTGCACTAGCAAGGTTATCAACAAGCTAACCTGTTGAAAGAGAAAGGCGTCCAATAAGCTGACTCGTTGCGGTAGCTGGGGTCTATACAGCCTATAATGTTCCCAACACACAGTGCGTGTTGCCCTCCTAGTATAATAAATCTCGTATCATTTCAAAAAAATAGTGATTTGGTGAAGTGTCTTAAGAACTGGGAAGCCAGAGGACCAGTGGTCCAAGGAGAAAGGGGCTTGCCAAGGAGGAGCGACCGTTGAGTAAGGGACCGAGAAAAGGGGCGCCAAAGGGGAGGGTAACAACCATTGAATGGGAAGAATTCATAGTCAAAGTCTGCTAGTTAGCTACCATTCAAAGGAGCTAACCGCGGTTTGCCCGGTGGATCGCAGTTCCTCAAGGTGGACCACAGTCCTTCAAGGTCGACCCTGGTCATATCATTGGAAGAAATCGGTCTTTCAAGGTCAACCATGGTCTACTGTTGGTAGACCTTGGTCTTTCATCAAGGCGGATTTCGATCGTTGGTCGATGGACCCTCGACCCCAGTGCCTGGAGGTCGATCTTGGTCTTTCGTCAATATACCTCGGTCCTTCGGTCGATGGACTCTTGGCCGGGGTCCCTGATGTCGGCCTCGGTCCAGAGTTCCAGCTACCATAGCCAATCAGAATTAAGAATCAGGTCTTAGGATGGAGATAGAGTAAAGGAGTTTCAAGATAGGGCTATATTAAATACTACTCAATTTGCGATTTACGTAGTACGCCATTGTCGTGCTCACAAGGATCTTACATAAGTCTACCCACCTGTTCCGTAAAGGGATGTATATTGACCCCCGTCGAAGACAGTCGTGAGGTAATACCCAAGTGTGGATAGAGCCCCAGGATATATTTGGCCTGTCGATTCGTCTGAGTAGCACCCCCCCAATCGACTCGCTATCGGAAGCGGTCTTCCTACCCTAGTGGTCCGGGAGCAAGTAAAGTCCAGGCGGTTAACAACCCTGAGATATCAAGGAAAAGGCCAGGGTTGAGTATCTTCCCCTGAAGAATTTGGTTATAAGCCCACCCTCGACCTAGTCGACCGAGTGGCCACCTACCAAGTGAGGTATATGGACTCGAGGCACTCCAAGGTCGACCTCTCTCAAGGCTGACATCACATCTCAGCCAAGTCCTCCGAAGAGTGCAACCCGCCAGCCGACGGGTACACAAGGTGAGAGAAGGTCTATACGCGGCATCGGGGTACCCCCTCCGACAGTCGGCAGTCCGGCACAGTGAGTGGCTTGAGGTCTCATAACGCAGTTTTGAGACCCATTCCATTACACTATTCAGAGCACGTTTCATACTGATTTGGTTAATGTTTAACTTCAAGCACTAATATAGAAGCACTTACTCTATACTTAGTGCTAGTCACTATTTACTGGCTCTATAGCCTGTTATTATTATGCAAATATGCATAGTTAGTATACTTTATATAAGTATGCTGACCACGTGGCTCTCTGCCACGATGTTTCCCTTCGTACTTCAGGTACGGTCACATCACCTACTTTGTACCCAAGGTACAGCCACACCACATTGGTGTGGCAGGTGTGTATGTAAAATACTTACCTTCGTGTAACCCCGTTACAACAGCGGATGGCAGAAACCGTCCGCGACAGCAATTTCTGCGCTACGTTGCCCTTCTTTGGTAGAAACGAGCAACATAGGACCACCACAAAGCTCATTCAGCATGAGCTTAATGAGACAAAGGAATAGGCTCGCCTTGCTGCACTAGCAAGGTTATCAACAAGCTAACCTGTTGAAAGAGAAAGGCGTCCAATAAGCTGACTCGTTGCGGTAGCTGGGGTCTATACAGCCTATAATGTTCCCAACACACAGTGCGTGTTGCCCTCCTAGTATAATAAATCTCGTATCATTTCAAAAAAATAGTGATTTGGTGAAGTGTCTTAAGAACTGGGAAGCCAGAGGACCAGTGGTCCAAGGAGAAAGGGGCTTGCCAAGGAGGAGCGACCGTTGAGTAAGGGACCGAGAAAAGGGGCGCCAAAGGGGAGGGTAACAACCATTGAATGGGAAGAATTCATAGTCAAAGTCCGCTAGTTAGCTACCATTCAAAGGAGCTAACCGCGGTTTGCCCGGTGGATCGCAGTTCCTCAAGGTGGACCACAGTCCTTCAAGGTCGACCCTGGTCATATCATTGGAAGAAATCGGTCTTTCAAGGTCAACCATGGTCTACTGTTGGTAGACCTTGGTCTTTCATCAAGGCGGATTTCGATCGTTGGTCGATGGACCCTCGACCCCAGTGCCTGGAGGTCGATCTTGGTCTTTCGTCAATATACCTCGGTCCTTCGGTCGATGGACTCTTGGCCGGGGTCCCTGATGTCGGCCTCGGTCCAGAGTTCCAGCTACCATAGCCAATCAGAATTAAGAATCAGGTCTTAGATGGAGATAGAGTAAAGGAGTTTCAAGATAGGGCTATATTAAATACTACTCAATTTGCGATTTACGTAGTACGCCATTGTCGTGCTCACAAGGATCTTACATAAGTCTACCCACCTGTTCCGTAAAGGGATGTATATTGACCCCCGTCGAAGACAGTCGTGAGGTAATACCCAAGTGTGGATAGAGCCCCAGGATATATTTGGCCTGTCGATTCGTCTGAGTAGCACCCCCCAATCGACTCGCTATCGGAAGCGGTCTTCCTACCCTAGTGGTCCGGGAGCAAGTAAAGTCCAGGCGGTTAACAACCCTGAGATATCAAGGAAAAGGCCAGGGTTGAGTATCTTCCCTGAAGAATTTGGTTATAAGCCCACCCTCGATCTAGTCGACCGAGTGGCCACCTACCAAGTGAGGTATATGGACTCGAGGCACTCCAAGGTCGACCTCTCTCAAGGCTGACATCACATCTCAGCCAAGTCCTCCGAAGAGTGCAACCCGCCAGCCGACGGGTACACAAGGTGAGAGAAGGTCTATACGCGGCATCGGGGTACCCCCTCCGACAGTCGGCAGTCCGGCACAGTGAGTGGCTTGAGGTCTCATAACGCAGTTTTGAGACCCATTCCATTACACTATTCAGAGCACGTTTCATACTGATTTGGTTAATGTTTAACTTCAAGCACTAATATAGAAGCACCTACCCTATACTTTGTGCTAGTCACTATTTACTGGCTCTAATCCGTTTATTATTATGCAAATATGCATAGTTAGTATACTTTATATAAGTATGCTGACCACGTGGCTCTCTGCCACGATGTTTCCCTTCGTACTTCAGGTACGGTCACATCACCTACTTTGTACCCAAGGTACAGCCACACCACATTGGTGTGGCAGGTGTGTATGTAAAATACTTACCTTCGTGTAACCCCGTTACAACAGCGGATGGCAGAAACCGTCCGCGACAGCAATTTCTGCGCTACGTTGCCCTTCTTTGGTAGAAACGAGCAACATAGGACCACCACAAAGCTCATTCAGCATGAGCTTAATGAGACAAAGGAATAGGCTCGCCTTGCTGCACTAGCAAGGTTATCAACAAGCTAACCTGTTGAAAGAGAAAGGCGTCCAATAAGCTGACTCGTTGCGGTAGCTGGGGTCTATACAGCCTATAATGTTCCCAACACACAGTGCGTGTTGCCCTCCTAGTATAATAAATCTCGTATCATTTCAAAAAAATAGTGATTTGGTGAAGTGTCTTAAGAACTGGGAAGCCAGAGGACCAGTGGTCCAAGGAGAAAGGGGCTTGCCAAGGAGGAGCGACCGTTGAGTAAGGGACCGAGAAAAGGGGCGCCAAAGGGGAGGGTAACAACCATTGAATGGGAAGAATTCATAGTCAAAGTCCGCTAGTTAGCTACCATTCAAAGGAGCTAACCGCGGTTTGCCCGGTGGATCGCAGTTCCTCAAGGTGGACCACAGTCCTTCAAGGTCGACCCTGGTCATATCATTGGAAGAAATCGGTCTTTCAAGGTCAACCATGGTCTACTGTTGGTAGACCTTGGTCTTTCATCAAGGCGGATTTCGATCGTTGGTCGATGGACCCTCGACCCCAGTGCCTGGAGGTCGATCTTGGTCTTTCGTCAATATACCTCGGTCCTTCGGTCGATGGACTCTTGGCCGGGGTCCCTGATGTCGGCCTCGGTCCAGAGTTCCAGCTACCATAGCCAATCAGAATTAAGAATCAGGTCTTAGATGGAGATAGAGTAAAGGAGTTTCAAGATAGGGCTATATTAAATACTACTCAATTTGCGATTTACGTAGTACGCCATTGTCGTGCTCACAAGGATCTTACATAAGTCTACCCACCTGTTCCGTAAAGGGATGTATATTGACCCCCGTCGAAGACAGTCGTGAGGTAATACCCAAGTGTGGATAGAGCCCCAGGATATATTTGGCCTGTCGATTCGTCTGAGTAGCACCCCCCAATCGACTCGCTATCGGAAGCGGTCTTCCTACCCTAGTGGTCCGGGAGCAAGTAAAGTCCAGGCGGTTAACAACCCTGAGATATCAAGGAAAAGGCCAGGGTTGAGTATCTTCCCTGAAGAATTTGGTTATAAGCCCACCCTCGACCTAGTCGACCGAGTGGCCACCTACCAAGTGAGGTATATGGACTCGAGGCACTCCAAGGTCGACCTCTCTCAAGGCTGACATCACATCTCAGCCAAGTCCTCCGAAGAGTGCAACCCGCCAGCCGACGGGTACACAAGGTGAGAGAAGGTCTATACGCGGCATCGGGGTACCCCCTCCGACAGTCGGCAGTCCGGCACAGTGAGTGGCTTGAGGTCTCATAACGCAGTTTTGAGACCCATTCCATTACACTATTCAGAGCACGTTTCATACTGATTTGGTTAATGTTTAACTTCAAGCACTAATATAGAAGCACTTACTCTATACTTAGTGCTAGTCACTATTTACTGGCTCTATAGCCTGTTATTATTATGCAAATATGCATAGTTAGTATACTTTATATAAGTATACTGACCACGTGGCTCTCTGCCACGATGTTTCCCTTCGTACTTCAGGTACGGCCACATCATGGCCGCTGAAGTATGCCTGACGGAGTGTCGTATAGCGGTGTCTGCACCAGCGGTCCTTCAACCTCTTCAGGAAAGCCTACTTGATGGTCGACCTGGTCAGTAAATGATTCATACGCTAATTTCAGCCATTCAATGAGCTTCTAGATCCCATCGAGACGAAACTGTGTGCTCTTGAAATTTGATTTTCATCAATCACATACCTATATTGGTATAGTCGTGAAATATTAGGAGAACCTAAATTCACCTTGAGGGACCCCGGTCCACCAATGTGGAACCACGGTTCACTTCTTTCAATGCTGACTACTAACCCTTCTCATCCAACGGTCGCTTCCCCCTTTTTTTAAGACCCTTTTTCTTTGGTCCATCGTCCACCGGTCGTTTCTCTTCTGCGGGCTCCTTTCTCTGATCAACTGATCCGTGGGTACTTCTAGTATTTACAGTGCTTCACCACAGTAATAAGTTTATGCTGTGATTGTGGCAGGTTAAGTCTGCTATGTCAATAGCCGACATCACCTCTAAACTAAACCGTGTTGGCTTTGTCACGGGCAAGTTAGGTGGCTTAGCCAAACAGTGAGCATCCACATGTGGTGCATCACTGCAAGATGCATTCCCAACTGGGTTAATCTGAAAGATCAGATAACTCGGGAGTATGCACCGCCAAATCAAGCACACTGTAGTCGGTCGCAATTTTGGCGTGTTGCAAAGGCAAGCGTGAGCTTGCGGCATATGTGGAAGAGCTGAAAACTCTTATTGCCACCAAGGTCATAGACCCTCTGCCTGATGCAGTGACTGTCACGGTCTTTATGGAGGGCCCCTCGAGTTGGCGTTGCCAGAACGGAAGTCTTCCGGGTAAACCCGTCCTCATTCGAGAAAGCTGTTGGAGTGGCATGAAATGCCGAGACCAACTTTTAGGCCGTAGGCCTGCCGCTTATAACTACTCACCTGATGGGTCGGTTTGCATGGAATGTAGTCAAGTGGAGAATGAAGAAGCTGGCCTTCTGCTGCAGAGCAGCACATTGTGCGCAGATGTTATATCTGCAAGAGCACAGGCCATTTGATGGCAAACTGCTTGCAAGAAAGGCATATTTGGTCTCGTAGGGCCGCCTCATGAGTAGGCCCTCTGTTTTGCCGCGGGAATACGGCGAAACCCAGTAGGCGCGGGGCGGCTTGCTGTGAAATAACTGAGTTCTATTGAACATCTAGGAGGAAGAAGTAAACAGGACCCAGCCCCAAAGAGACCCGAAGTCTCAAAAACGGAGCAAGAATGCAAGCCAGGCTTGCTGGTCGTATCCAGAGTCACTTGGTCGTGCCTTTTTGAAAATGTGTACAATGGGGCTTAATCCAGTGGCGTTCAGTCCAGAATGGTGAAATAAACTTCTTGCTGCGTTTTTTTACCACGCAGGCACATTCGCCTACTTGTTTTGTTCGTCTACCGCGTTCTTTACCTGATTAATGTCACTTACGTCTCCTATGAGAGGAGTCACCTTGTCACCTGTGAGCTCCTGGATTTCCTGAGCTGCCATATTCACGACATTGCGCTTTCGGCTCATGATGGCAACGATGGCGCCAAGATCCGATAATTTGGTTGCGATGCCCTTGCCCAAGCCCATGTCGCCATCAGTGATTAGAGTTGCTTTGCCCTCGAAGGTGCCACGGGGCAGCATGGGCATCGTCCGGTAATTTACTCTACTCTGAGCACGAAAGAGAGAGAATCGCAGCAATAACCACAAACATACGCCCTTGTTCCACATTTTGGATGACAAGTTAGAAATGAGTTAGGCCCATGGCGAAGAAACATATTATTATACGATGCTTGTAGAAATATGCATATGATTGGTAAAAATATCGATCTGTCTCGACCAATAGTCGAGTGCTAAGACTGCGACCAAACGTTGATGAGCGGGCAATTGCAAGTGTCCGGTGTGCTTCGTCGAGCGGCGCGTAGTAATCGACAGACGCCGTTATTACACGCTTAGAACTCGTTGTCTTCAAACACTGTACAGGGTGCTTTCTAGCTATAGATGGTTCATTTTCGCGTAATAGTCGACGCTTTTCCACCTCTGACACGGCTCCTATAGTGATTAAGCTGACAGTGACCCATGGACAACTCACAGGTGCGCCTAAGAAAGAGTCTTGGAATGACAGGAATGATTGAATGGGGTAGTTGATTGCTACACATGGTGCAGTTGCTGTGGTAGGCAGCGGAACAAGTCAAGAGTATTAGTGTCCAAGCGGTTCTTGAGACATTTCGCACGACCAGAGGATTCCCGTGGTGGGCTACACTGATCGTACGAGCTTAGGGAGTTGAGGACAAAGGTGAAATGTCACGACCATTTCTCTGTGTTGTGATGTTCTAGCTCTCTGACGTGGCGGTGCGCGCTGCTATCTTTCCTTTCTACGTGTATGTGGTCCAGGCGACCCCAAGTTATTGTTTTCCTTTTTGTTTTTGTGTGAAGGCACTACTGTCGCCGATAGTCTTGTTCTTGGTGAGTTAGATGTTAACGAAGGGAACTTCCGGCTGTATAAAGCTGCACTTGGCGTACAGTACCGCGGGCACATCTACGGTAGGAAGGCATTGGATAGAAATGTTTTTGCTGCGGGTGGGTTCACCAAACATCTGTCTATTTGGTTGTGAAGCCCGTATCAGACCACAAGAGACATCTCAACGTCATGCTGCTTGGGCGACAAAGTGTCCGCGCGGTGATAAAAAAGTACAATACGCGTCCCATTCAAACTGTCATTGGCGCATTTGCATACATCCCTATCTTCATTGTATGGCGTACAGTGCTCGTGATATGGTACGCTGCGGAAAGTTTGCAGGGCTTGACTTTGATGGCTTGTGTTTTGGAATAACCTGATGGAAATGGACAGCACATACATGCTGCCTGCTCTGGAGGCGTTATCTACTTTCAGTAGTCTGGAAGTCTCTGCGCGGACAAAAAGTGGTTTCTGGACAGAGCTGCTGCGAGCAGGGCAATACGGCACAATTCTTGCTGTCCCGTTCCTGGCTAATTTGCCGAGAGGGGTTCTCTTTAACTGGCTGGGTTCCTCGTGGTTGTCTATGGCGCAGAGCATTGTCATGAAGAACAACAACGTTCGCAGGCGCATGGACTCAAACCCCGAATCATGAAAATTGAGTCAACTATTTTATAATGCTTACAAAAGACCCCACACTAGACTGTTGTCAAAGCAAGGCTGCGTGTTGGCAGAATAACCGAAAAGGGTAGCGATAAAACTAACGATAAAAACCGGCAGTAGTGTATCTTTCTTTATTGTGGTGTCGTATATAATAAAACGAAGCTCCAGATCATTAAGATTAGCTAACTTGCCTTCCAATTAAAGATGCCCCACTATTGAGTTTGGATCCACAGTCGACTACTATGCTATGTACTGCACCACAACGATGACGTGTAAATAGCAATTCACAATTTGACCAATCGGTGTAGCAGTCATTCGGGTGTATGACTGCTTGTTTCAATCGAGTAACACATTGTCTCAACGTAGTCACCAACAGCAAAACTGACCATAGTTTGCTCGGTTTAGCCGCAACAGCAAAACTAACCTTAGTTTGTTCGGCTTAGCCGCATCAATGTCGCACCGCTCAATCGAGCATCCTCTCGCATTACTTGACCAGCTCGAAACCTCTTGCGGACTTAAGCACAATAGCCACTGGTCTCTCAACTGTCAATAGGAGACCCACTTATCAAAATACCTCTCGCATATTAAAGGAGATATATTCATCAAGACTGCCTACCGGGGTGTGGCAGCGCGAAGTGCGGTAGACCTGCCGACTCACAGGTACTGCCTCAACATTACGTGTAGCGTTGTGTAGTGAGAAAGCAGTCACGACTCGATGAAAATGCTACCACCACGCGTTAAATAGGGTGCAACTGATTGTGAACCATCAAAAAGTGCAGAAAATTGTGTCGTTTTCACTTACTAATGTCACTGCGACCCGAATCGTATCACAGTACTCACATCCTGCCACACGCAAGCCTAACGCGTTACCGAGAACTGCACTGCGTTTTACCCGCATTGAGATGACCTGTCACTAGCATGTAGCACCACGCCTGTTTGTTGAAAGGTGAATCAAATTTGCCTGGTTCCAAAGTCGTCGATAAATGTGATGTTGTTGCTCCGTGTCGATGCGCGGTGTGAGGCCGTCTTACTCGGTCGAAACGAAAGCCTTGGCTGAATCAAGCACTCAGCGTACAAGATCGCAAGTTGAAGGTCAATGGTGGCTTTGTTTGAGTAATATACTCCGTACGAAGGGTTCGTCTCCTTGACACTAGTACTAAAAGCACCAGGTCATTGTGGATTACATGTAAATACCAGCTAGCGGCGCCGTCAATATCCGTGCATCTCGCGATACGTGTAGAGGTAGTACACATGTAGCTCAAATGGGAGCATGAATGTGTTCGGCTGAGCCCATGCCAGGTACTTCTTGAGTCTGTCTGTAGACGTGGCGTCAATAATATTTCCCTACCACGTATTTTCATCGAGTCGTGACTGCTTTCTCACTACACAACGCTACACGTAATGTTGAGGCAGTACCTGTGAGTCGGCAGGTCTACCGCACTTCGCGCTGCCACACCCCGGTAGGCAGTCTTGATGAATATATCTCCTTTAATATGCGAGAGGTATTTTGATAAGTGGGTCTCCTATTGACAGTTGAGAGACCAGTGGCTATTGTGCTTAAGTCCGCAAGAGGTTTCGAGCTGGTCAAGTAATGCGAGAGGATGTTCGATTGAGCGGTGCGACATTGTTGCGGCTAAGCCGAACAAACTAAGGTTAGTTTTGCTGTTGCGGCTAAACCGAGCAAACTATGGTCAGTTTTGCTGTTGGTGACTACGTTGAGACAATGTGTTACGCGATTGAAACAAGCAGTCATACACCCGAATGACTGCTACACCGATTGATCAAATTGTGAATTGCTATTTACACGTCATCGTTGTGGTGCAGTACATAGCATAGTAGTCGACTGTGGATCCAAACTCAATAGTGGGGCATCTTTAATTGGAAGGCAAGTTAGCTAATCTTAATGATCTGGAGCTTCGTTTTATTATATACGACACCACAATAAAGAAAGAGACACTACTGCCGGTTTTTATCGTTAGTTTTATCGCTACCCTTTTCGGTTTTTATCGTTAGTTTTATCGCTACCCTTTTCGGTTATTCTGCCAACACGCAGCCTTGCTTTGACAACAGTCTAGTGTGGGGTCTTTTGTAAGCATTATAAAATAGTTGACTCAATTTTCATGATTCGGGGTTTGAGTCCATGCGCCTGCGAACGTTGTTGTTCTTCATGACAATGCTCTGCGCCATAGACAACCATGAGGAACCCAGCCAGTTAAAGAGAACCCCTCTCGGCAAATTAGCCAGGAACGGGACAGCAAGAATTGTGCCGTATTGCCCTGCTCGCAGCAGCTCTGTCCAGAAACCACTTTTTGTCCGCGCAGAGACTTCCAGACTACTGAAAGTAGATAACGCCTCCAGAGCAGGCAGCATGTATGTGCTGTCCATTTCCATCAGGTTATTCCAAAACACAAGCCATCAAAGTCAAGCCCTGCAAACTTTCCGCAGCGTACCATATCACGAGCACTGTACGCCATACAATGAAGATAGGGATGTATGCAAATGCGCCAATGACAGTTTGAATGGGACGCGTATTGTACTTTTTTATCACCGCGCGGACACTTTGTCGCCCAAGCAGCATGACGTTGAGATGTCTCTTGTGGTCTGATACGGGCTTCACAACCAAATAGACAGATGTTTGGTGAACCCACCCGCAGCAAAAACATTTCTATCCAATGCCTTCCTACCGTAGATGTGCCCGCGGTACTGTACGCCAAGTGCAGCTTTATACAGCCGGAAGTTCCCTTCGTTAACATCTAACTCACCAAGAACAAGACTATCGGCGACAGTAGTGCCTTCACACAAAAACAAAAAGGAAAACAATAACTTGGGGTCGCCTGGACCACATACACGTAGAAAGGAAAGATAGCAGCGCGCACCGCCACGTCAGAGAGCTAGAACATCACAACACAGAGAAATGGTCGTGACATTTCACCTTTGTCCTCAACTCCCTAAGCTCGTACGATCAGTGTAGCCCACCACGGGAATCCTCTGGTCGTGCGAAATGTCTCAAGAACCGCTTGGACACTAATACTCTTGACTTGTTCCGCTGCCTACCACAGCAACTGCACCATGTGTAGCAATCAACTACCCCATTCAATCATTCCTGTCATTCCAAGACTCTTTCTTAGGCGCACCTGTGAGTTGTCCATGGGTCACTGTCAGCTTAATCACTATAGGAGCCGTGTCAGAGGTGGAAAAGCGTCGACTATTACGCGAAAATGAACCATCTATAGCTAGAAAGCACCCTGTACAGTGTTTGAAGACAACGAGTTCTAAGCGTGTAATAACGGCGTCTGTCGATTACTACGCGCCGCTCGACGAAGCACACCGGACACTTGCAATTGCCCGCTCATCAACGTTTGGTCGCAGTCTTAGCACTCGACTATTGGTCGAGACAGATCGATATTTTTACCAATCATATGCATATTTCTACAAGCATCGTATAATAATATGTTTCTTCGCCATGGGCCTAACTCATTTCTAACTTGTCATCCAAAATGTGGAACAAGGGCGTATGTTTGTGGTTATTGCTGCGATTCTCTCTCTTTCGTGCTCAGAGCAGAGTAAATTACCGGACGATGCCCATGCTGCCCCGTGGCACCTTCGAGGGCAAAGCAACTCTAATCACTGATGGCGACATGGGCTTGGGCAAGGGCATCGCAACCAAATTATCGGATCTTGGCGCCATCGTTGCCATCATGAGCCGAAAGCGCAATGTCGTGAATATGGCAGCTCAGGAGATCCAGGAGCTCACAGGTGACAAGGTGACTCCTCTCATAGGAGACGTAAGTGACATTAATCAGGTAAAGAACGCGGTAGACGAACAAAACAAGTAGGCGAATGTGCCTGCGTGGTAAAAAAACGCAGCAAGAAGTTTATTTCACCATTCTGGACTGAACGCCACTGGATTAAGCCCCATTGTACACATTTTCAAAAAGGCACGACCAAGTGACTCTGGATACGACCAGCAAGCCTGGCTTGCATTCTTGCTCCGTTTTTGAGACTTCGGGTCTCTTTGGGGCTGGGTCCTGTTTACTTCTTCCTCCTAGATGTTCAATAGAACTCAGTTATTTCACAGCAAGCCGCCCCGCGCCTACTGGGTTTCGCCGTATTCCCGCGGCAAAACAGAGGGCCTACTCATGAGGCGGCCCTACGAGACCAAATATGCCTTTCTTGCAAGCAGTTTGCCATCAAATGGCCTGTGCTCTTGCAGATATAACATCTGCGCACAATGTGCTGCTCTGCAGCAGAAGGCCAGCTTCTTCATTCTCCACTTGACTACATTCCATGCAAACCGACCCATCAGGTGAGTAGTTATAAGCGGCAGGCCTACGGCCTAAAAGTTGGTCTCGGCATTTCATGCCACTCCAACAGCTTTCTCGAATGAGGACGGGTTTACCCGGAAGACTTCCGTTCTGGCAACGCCAACTCGAGGGCCCTCCATAAAGACCGTGACAGTCACTGCATCAGGCAGAGGGTCTATGACCTTGGTGGCAATAAGAGTTTTCAGCTCTTCCACATATGCCGCAAGCTCACGCTTGCCTTTGCAACACGCCAAAATTGCGACCGACTACAGTGTGCTTGATTTGGCGGTGCATACTCCCGAGTTATCTGATCTTTCAGATTAACCCATGTTGGGAATGCATCTTGCAGTGATGCACCACATGTGGATGCTCACTGTTTGGCTAAGCCACCTAACTTGCCCGTGACAAAGCCAACACGGTTTAGTTTAGAGGTGATGTCGGCTATAGACATAGCAGACTTAACCTGCCACAATCACAGCATAAACTTATTACTGTGGTGAAGCACTGTAAATACTAGAAGTACCCACGGATCAGTTGATCAGAGAAAGGAGCCCGCAGAAGAGAAACGACCGGTGGACGATGGACCAAAGAAAAAGGGTCTTAAAAAAAGGGGGAAGCGACCGTTGGATGAGAAGGGTTAGTAGTCAGCATTGAAAGAAGTGAACCGTGGTTCCACATTGGTGGACCGGGGTCCCTCAAGGTGAATTTAGGTTCTCCTAATATTTCACGACTATACCAATATAGGTATGTGATTGATGAAAATCAAATTTCAAGAGCACACAGTTTCGTCTCGATGGGATCTAGAAGCTCATTGAGTGGCTGAAATTAGCGTATGAATCATTTACTGACCAGGTAGACCATCAAGTAGGCTTTCCTGAAGAGGTTGAAGGACCGCTGGTGCAGACACCGCTATACGACACTCCGTCAGGCATACTTCAGCGGCCATGATGTGGCCGTACCTGAAGTACGAAGGGGAAACATCGTGGCAGAGAGCCACGTGGTCAGTATACTTATATAAAGTATACTAACTATGCATATTTGCATAATAATAACAGGCTATAGAGCCAGTAAATAGTGACTAGCACTAAGTATAGAGTAAGTGCTTCTATATTAGTGCTTGAAGTTAAACATTAACCAAATCAGTATGAAACGTGCTCTGAATAGTGTAATGGAATGGGTCTCAAAACTGCGTTATGAGACCTCAAGCCACTCACTGTGCCGGACTGCCGACTGTCGGAGGGGGTACCCCGATGCCGCGTATAGACCTTCTCTCACCTTGTGTACCCGTCGGCTGGCGGGTTGCACTCTTCGGAGGACTTGGCTGAGATGTGATGTCGGCCTTGAGAGAGGTCGACCTTGGAGTGCCTCGAGTCCATATACCTCACTTGGTAGGTGGCCACTCGGTCGACTAGGTCGAGGGTGGGCTTATAACCAAATTCTTCAGGGAAGATACTCAACCCTGGCCTTTTCCTTGATATCTCAGGGTTGTTAACCGCCTGGACTTTACTTGCTCCCGGACCACTAGGGTAGGAAGACCGCTTCCGATAGCGAGTCGATTGGGGGGTGCTACTCAGACGAATCGACAGGCCAAATATATCCTGGGGCTCTATCCACACTTGGGTATTACCTCACGACTGTCTTCGACGGGGGTCAATATACATCCCTTTACGGAACAGGTGGGTAGACTTATGTAAGATCCTTGTGAGCACGACAATGGCGTACTACGTAAATCGCAAATTGAGTAGTATTTAATATAGCCCTATCTTGAAACTCCTTTACTCTATCTCCATCCTAAGACCTGATTCTTAATTCTGATTGGCTATGGTAGCTGGAACTCTGGACCGAGGCCGACATCAGGGACCCCGGCCAAGAGTCCATCGACCGAAGGACCGAGGTATATTGACGAAAGACCAAGATCGACCTCCAGGCACTGGGGTCGAGGGTCCATCGACCAACGATCGAAATCCGCCTTGATGAAAGACCAAGGTCTACCAACAGTAGACCATGGTTGACCTTGAAAGACCGATTTCTTCCAATGATATGACCAGGGTCGACCTTGAAGGACTGTGGTCCACCTTGAGGAACTGCGGTCCACCGGGCAAACCGCGGTTAGCTCCTTTGAATGGTAGCTAACTAGCGGACTTTGACTATGAATTCTTCCCATTCAATGGTTGTTACCCTCCCCTTTGGCGCCCCTTTTCTCGGTCCCTTACTCAACGGTCGCTCCTCCTTGGCAAGCCCCTTTCTCCTTGGACCACTGGTCCTCTGGCTTCCAGTTTTTAAGCCGCTTCACTACAATCGGATACGTGCTAGAGCTTAATTTTTGAAAGAAAGAAATTGTATCTTTGGTACTGGTCTGTTGGAGACGTAATTCCTTACAACCAAAAGGCATAAGCTTGTGAAGCTAGCCTTGGGAGGGTTAAGAACCCTAAGACACACAGCTCTTGGGCTGGGTGTCTTAGGGTTCTTAACCCTCCCACTGTAGCAAACCGACTTTTGAGCTAGTCTTCCTTTGCACCTAGTTCAAAAGTCGGTTTGCTACAGTAGCTCTGCTACAGTTTAAGAAATTGCATTCAGCCGCTGGTTTTATTTCTAAAGTCACAAAAGATCTTTCTCTACAAAATTAAAAAGTCACGTATTTGCCTTCTTCGGCAGCTTATTTTTTGGTCAATGTCAATGCCAATGCGTCGTAAACTGAAGTTAGACAGTATTTTAGTTCCTCGGCACGACAAAGTGTTAGCAAGCAAATTTGATTGGCCCTTACAAACTACAATTATAGTACCATGAAGCGTGTATTACATTAAGCAGCTGGTTTTGTTTGGGACCTTTTACAGTGAATGACGTGTCCATTTATACCGGCATACTTTGAAGTTTATACCCTGTGATAACACTTAGACAGAATATAGAGCTACTATCGTGTACAGTTTTAATAAAACCTCTTCCATTTGATACCTGTACATATTAATATGTTTAATCTGTCTATTCATCTGCAACCTCATAAATTGACTCGCGCAATAAAGCGATGACGCTGCACCATTTTCTCTACATGGGCCTTTTCATTAAGTTCAGCCACGCACTGGCAGTCACAGCGCTGGCTATTGGATTCTACTGCGCTCCCGCTTGGTGTTCTGACGTTATTAAGACTCGTACGTCCGGTATTGGTCTTACAATGTTGCATGTTTGTTGCTTCTACTTCCTCTGACTCAATTGTCTGTTTTGCACCTTGCAGACGGTATCGCGCCATCTTCGCCACTTGCCGAAGCTCTTAAACGCGTACCTACTGATAATGCGGCAGTACGCGACCTCAGTAACGCTGCGTTTTCATCTTCACTATCTCCGACTGAGCGCCGCGACGCCCTCGTTCAGCTCGGAGATATGTACTTTTATGGCAACCGCTCGCTGGCGATGCGTGTAAATGGCACATTGGCCTTGAGTCTGTACGCTGAAGCGGCGGGGCTGGGGGATCCAAGGGCACAGTTTCACGTGGGTGTGGCGTTGAGCTACGGACTCTGGGGTTTTCCACAGGATGAAGCCGCCGCAATGACGCATTACTACTTTGCAGCTTTGGGTGGAGAAATCGGCGCTTCAATGGCTTTAGGACACAAACATTTGCTAGGACTTGGCACTCCTAAGAAGTGTGAATCAGCTGTGCGCTACTACGAGGTGGCGGCTAATGAAGCCGTGACGAGGCGGGAGCAGAATGCAAAGCACCCAGCACTCTACGACGTGTCGCACCGCCGATTGAAGATTGTGTCGGAGAGGCAGCACGAAAAGAGCTTACCCGGCGACAGCGCTATCGTTGACTTTTATCATCTATCGGCAGACAAAGGCGACCCCGATGCCACACTGAACTTGGCCACGTTGTACTATTACGGTGCGCGTGGAGTAGCACAAGACTTGGAGCGCGCAGCAGTGCTTTTCCAGAAAGCGTATGAACTGGGAGCTAGCGGAGGAGCGTATTATCTCGGACACATTTACAGTCTTGGAATTGGAGTTGTGCAAAGTAATTTTAGCGCGTTCAAGTACTTGCAGGAGGCGGTTAACGAGGGCAACATAGCTGCGCAGAACGAGCTGGCACACGTGTATTTTGTTGGAAAAGGTGTTAAACCGGACAAGGATCGGGCGCTGGAGCTTTTTTGGGCTGCAGCCAAGCAAGGCAGCAAGGAGGCCTTCTACAATTTGGGCGTCCTCTACATGCATGGTGGAGGATCAAAGAGCGCTATGGAGCGCCCTGAATATGGAGTCGCGCATGGATTTTTTCAGGTAGCTGCACACCAGGGTCATACCATCGCTAGCCACAAGCTTGGCCACATGAGTCTGCATGGTATCGGCACAACTCGCTCTTGCAAGAATGCCGTCGATTCGTTTAAAATGGTGGCGGAGTGTGGAGAATGGGATCGTGTGCTTTTCGAGGCTTTTAAAGATTTTAAGCACCAGGACTACGAGGCTGCTTTTATGAAGTATGCTGTGATGGCGCTGCAAGGCTACGAGATCGCTCAGCACAATGCTGCGTATTTGTTGGACTACAACTTCTTGACACCATCTACATTCTCGCCACTGCTGTCGTTGACGCCTTCAAACATGATACTGGAGGAGAATGTCGCGGCCTCTACTGCTGTGATGTTGTATAAGCTGGCAGCGCTACAGGGTAATGTAGATGCACACTTAAAGATTGGCGACTACTACTATTATGGGAAAGGAGGGCACCCGACGGACTTTGTCAAGGCCAGTGCGCACTATTTTCTTGCTAGCAAGCGGTCTAATGCACAGGCCATGTATAACCTTGCGCTATTGTACGAGCACGGAATTGGCGTAGATCAAGACTTTTACCTGGCGAAGCGCTTCTTTGACAAAGCACGTCAAGCCCACAGCGATGCCAATGTACCGGTAATGCTTGCAATGTGGAAGTTGCAAGCTCATCAGTCGCTTTGTCTATGGAAAAGGTGGTGGAATGAGTTTGTAGGCAACGTGCCGCCGTCTACAACGCGAGAACCTCGTTCGTCAATTTCACGAGCTTTTACCGCGTCAAACAGTAAGAGAGATGGAGATGTTGGCGCAGAAACAACACTGGATTCCTTGTTTGCTTCGCTGGATGCGTGGTGGCTTGACGACACAAATTGGAGTGCCGATGCTTTTGCGCAGGACACGTTGTCTCTCGTGGGTGAGGTGTTGCAATCTGACAATTTTCTTATCTTTGTATTGACGATTGCTCTCTGCGTCGTTGTTTACATTCGCTCTGAGCGGCAATATGTACAAGCGCCACGTCCGCATTTGCCGCCGCAATAAGTCAAGTGAGTAGAGATGGAGATGACGAGGGTGAAAACGATTTACATGTAGTAAAAACGGAATGGTTATTGCATTATTGCAAACACGGAAAACCTAACTGTTTGTCGAGACATAGCACAAAGCATTTCTTATGAGCGTTCTGTAGTCACGCTTTGCTATTATTTTATGATTGAGCATTTTGGCTGTGAAAACCTGAAGAATAAGATATTAATTTTGCCAGTCAGCAAGCACTTACCACCACCCATATTACGCTAGACTTTGTTGTCATGCTGCGTCATGTGTTCACGTCGTTTACACGACGACGCACTCAACATCTTTGCACTGTAAATTGTCGTAGCTTCTCATCTGTTCCATTATTAAAGAAAGGTGATGGTTGTAAGTCCTTACAAGTAGGTGAAATTTACCACAACTTTAAGCTGGAACGAGTAGCAACTGTGCCCGAGTACGGCGTTGACGCTTTAGAGCTGCGTCATGAGCATACGAAAGCGAAGTATCTGCATCTGGATGCTAAGGATTCAAATAATGTTTTTGCTGTTATGTTCCGTACGCCGCCCACGAACTCGACAGGTGTGGCTCATATTTTAGAACATACGACGTTATGTGGATCCAAGCGCTATCCAGTGCGCGATCCATTTTTTAACATGATAAAGCGCAGTCTCAATACATATATGAATGCTCTCACGGGTGCAGATCATACTATGTATCCATTCTCAACAACTAATACCAAGGATTGGCGCAACCTCATGAGTGTATATCTAGACGCCGTCTTTTTTCCCAACTTGGAAAAGCTTGACTTTTTGCAAGAGGGTCATCGACTCGAAATTAGCAAGGAACAACACGGAACGAGAGAGCTTATATACAAAGGTGTCGTGTTGAACGAGATGAAAGGAGTGTTTTCAGATAGCAACAATATCTTTGCCACGCGATTGCAGCAGGAACTTATGAAAGACACCATCTATCAGCATGTGAGTGGAGGCGACCCAAAGCATATTCCATCGCTTACGTACGAGGATCTCCGCGCTTTTCACACCACATATTACCACCCATCGAACTGTTGCTTTTACTCTTACGGTGACTTGCCACTCACGGATCACCTGGCTTATTTAAATCAGGAGGTCCTCAGTAAGTTTGACTACTGCGCCGAATCAGCTGGCATTCAAGTAGACACAAAGGGATTTTGCATGCGCAAGGCAAGCTCAAAGGAGCCGGAATTGATAGTTATTGAAGGTCCTAGCAGCAACATGAGCAGTGACGATGCTGCTGATCCGAACACTAAGTTTTGCATGAGCAAGATTGTAGACGTGAGATCTACAGATCCTTTTCCAACCTTCGTGCTGCGAATCGTGGGCTATTTACTGACGAATGGACCGGCGTCTCCATTGTACAAAGCACTCATCGACTCTGACCTTGCACAGGACTTTTCGGTCGGTACAGGCTTTGATACATCCACGTACTACCCAACATTCGGCGTCAGTGTAGAGGGCATCAAAGGAGGAAAAGCTACTGTTCCTGCTATTCGTATAGCTGTGCACGACGCATTGACGAAAGTGGTCGCTGAGGGGTTTGACAAGGATCGAGTGGACGGACTACTTCATCAGTTAGAGTTGAGTCTTAAGCATGTGACGGGCAACTTTGGACTGCAACTTATGCATGGCGTTAGTTCCATTTGGGCTCATGGAGGCGATCTTATTGACAGTTTGCAGCTGAACCCTTTATTGGAGCTTTTAAACGCCGAAATGGCTCGTGATCCAAAATTTCTTGAGAGTCATGTGCGGGATTACTTCATGCGCGATGATGTGCGCGAGGTCCAGATGCTTATGCTGCCTTCTAGAGACTTTGTGCGCGATCAAGAACGACTCGAACAAGAAAACCTGGCTGCTACACTTATGGAATTGTCTAACGATGACCTAGACCGTATTGCGCGAACCACATCGCAGCTGGAGCGCCACCAACAAACGACACAGCCTGTGGAATGTCTGCCCACATTAAGTTTGGATGACATTCCGCGCTTTCAAGAGGACAATTTCGACCATATTGACACAGTACAGCTATACTCGATATCTGGAGAATTTGTGCGCGTGCCGTCTACGAACGAGGTTACGTACTTGCGTCTTCTTTTTGACTTGGAAGCGATACCACAAGTGTACCATCGATACATGAATGTTTTTGCGACTGTGTTTGGATCGCTGGGCACATCACGCTACGCCTACGATGAGCTTTCCACGGTCATTGCAAACTGCTGTGGAGGTGTATCATGCTCAGCAATTTCGGCCCCATCGCTCAGCAATGCGCTCGGTGATCCCAGCAAGCAATCGCTTTTGCTTACCACAATGTGCTTACCTCACAAAGTGGACGAAACATTGAGCCTCTTGCATCAAGCACTCACCGACACACAGTTTTTAAGTGATGAAAATTTGCGCCAACTGCGTCTCATTTTGCAGAGTAGTGCATCTACCGCAAGCAGCAGCATTTCGTCATCCGGTGCTGTCCTAGCTGCAACACGCTCACGTGTCGGTCTTTCCAGTGCTGGTGTGTACGACGAGTTATACAGTGGCCTTACGCAGATTGAGCAGCTTCAACATTGGGCACAGTGCTCGGATGATGAGCTCTGTCAAATTGCTTGTATACTACAAGATATCGCCCGCATGGTGTTCATACCCGCTAACCTACGTCTATCTGTTGTGACAGAGGACAAACTTCGTTCTCAGGTCGAGCACTCTCTGACGTCTAAGCTTCTCCAGCCACTGGCTGATACTGCATCGGTGGCAGACGTTGCGTCACTAACGCATCCAATCGATGAACTACAGGTGCCTGTTGTATCAACAAAGAGCTATTTTGCCTTTCCCATTTCAGTCAACTTTGTAGTGGAGACACAGTCATCTGTGTCATTCGCACACGAGGATCATGTGCCACTCACTTTGCTGGCACAAATCATGTCGACGTGTTACCTGCATCAGCAAGTACGTGAACAAGGTGGAGCCTACGGTTCCGGTGTCTCTCAGAACGAGGGCTCTTTTTCGATGACCTCTCATTATGATCCGAACACGTTTAAGACGCTTGATGCTTACAATGGTGCTCGTCAGTGGGCCGTTAATGGAGAGTTTTCGCATCGTGATGTGCAGGAAGCGCTGCTATCGGTGTTTGCTAGTATCGACGCCCCTAAAACTCCGTCAATGAAGGGTCGAATGAGCTTTTTGCGAGGTGTAACCAATGACATGCGCCAGCGCCGCCGTGAACAGTATCTGTCGCTGACACGCCAAGACCTTGTAAAAGTTGCGCACAAGTATTTGAGCGAAGAAAAAATGCTGGAGAAGCGCACTGTTATTATCGGCAAGGACAGTGACAATTGTCAAGAATTTTTAGATAAGGGTTTCGACGTGCAGCGTTTTACTTCTACAACCTCGTTCGACAAGTAAGGGATGGATAGACCAAACAGCTCGAGAAATAGACAACACAATTCAGCATTCCTATATATTCATCAGAGTGTCTCGTCTTGCCGCGCTTTTTTAGCTAAAGTAATAGCGTGCACGTCCATCTTGATCTGCCTAGTTATTCACTTAGTGACTACTGTTGCTGGTCTCCGCTTCGCCTGAGATCGTGCGGCAAATGGGGCAGTCGAATCGGGTACGGTACCACTCATTGATGCAGTGTTCATGAAAAAAATGACCACATGGCGAGAGCACAAGTTGATTTCCGTCCAGCTCGGTCCATTCACAAAGACAAATAGGGCAGGAGTCGGAATCCACTTGGACGTCGCGTGGGTCAACGTACTTTAGCTGCCGAATGGATCGGACATGCTGCCTCTCGTGTTCAAGCGGGAACTGCAAAAATTCTTTTACAAGAAATCGCGTCGACATGATTTTATTGCACGCTTCCACCTCTTCCTCAGCAGAAAGGTACTCGCAAAGAGCGACAATAAATTCCTCAAGTCCGGCGGTTCGTCTACCAACAAGAGCCGATGGGTCTTTAAACATAACGATGCGACGAGGAAAGCCCACGTCCTTGAGTTTATCACACACTATGCCACACACGGAGCATCCTTGCTGCTTTTTATGCGCTGCAAGAAGTGCTAATAGCCGCTTGCGTATTCGATAAAACTCCGAGTAGCGTTTGCATACGACCCACTTTTGTTTGTAATAGTCACTTGTAATCTCCAAATGGTACACATAGTAATTACCTGAAGCACCACGGACAAGTACGGCCTGACAAGTTATTATCAATCGTGTCATGGACTCTTGATGAATACGACGAATAACCACACGCTTCGCGGCTACGCCCTGATCAGCTACGAGTCCAATAGGCATGTCCTGAAAGCGCTGCTGTGCCACAGATTTGGCAGGTAAACGATAATTGGATGACTCAGGCTGTGGAGCAAAGTTTGTACCATAAAATGAGCGCATATCATTCTCAACGTCTTCCACTTCCTCTACATTTTCTGAGTCGGCATATGACACAGCGGCAGGACGTTGTATGTTTTGACTCTTATTATTATTATTATTCAGATATTGCATGCCATGATGACCTGAATCTTTAGCATTTGGGCTACTATTGAACATATTGCTAATATCATCAGTATTATGTGGACTATCTTCTGCTTCACTATCAAGCCATTCGACGTTCTCCACCATTTGGGCCATTGTGACTGGAAACCTGTCAAAGAAAATATAACCAAAACTTGCTTCTTATGATCGTACGACCGAAACCTTGGACCGGCCAATTAGACAACGACCTCTTTACCGTTCTTTGCGGAAAAAAGTTGCACATCGTAACGTTATTGGATTGGATAAAATGAAAAGCAAATGTTTAGAAATGTATAATTAAATAAAAATTAGAAATCTATAAATTAGACGGAAAAACCAACATTATGCCCAAACAAGAATGCTTAACGTGTAAGGCAGGCAATGAGACGCACCATAAGAGTGCTGTAGAAAACACGGGATGTGAGAAAAGTTATTTGCGTGTGGATGGTATTGTTTTTATATTATATGATTACTTTGTACGATTGCGGGTGGGGTAGCTTTGGTAACGAATGTATGTCGTGGTGCTTTTATGTCAGCCTGTATGAAGCTTTATAACGGCCGCGTCTCGGCTTGCATTGACGTAGGTTCTCGTTAAAGTTAGAAATTTGCGATGGCTAATATTTGAAATGTCAAACTCCTGTAGGAGTGGAATATGTTCCGTCAGTGTTACGAGCAGGGCAAGGTAACTCGTAAAAGTGGCAACAAGGAAGGCAAAAACGACTAGTGGCAGTATAAAGTATTGATGTCTTGTTCAACAATCATAAGAAAAATCTCTTTCTTGACTGCTTTTTTGCTATAAAAAGAAAGCGCCATGGCTGACTAAAGTGTTTGCGATTGCGGTAATGGCGAGAAGAAACTGTTACAGTTATCAATCGAACAGTACATGCTGATTCAGCATAATCTGGTCGTCGTCAGTGTCGCATCACGCAATTGCAAATTAGCTCGTTTGAATCAATCACCATGTGGTCACTACGACCTGAAACAGTGGCTGTCATTCGATTGAGCAAAGTACGCATGAGAATTGTCAATGGAAAGGCAGCAGTAGAAATGATAGTGGACAGCAAACGTCGCCACTATGCACAACGGAAGGCTATTGGCAAATGGTCTAGCAAGTCGCTCGGACGGTGGACGTCCAGTACTGACAACTACTGTTTGCCTGCTTGACAGATGCTGCCCTCGTCAACACGTAGACATCTGCATGCAATTTGAATCGCAATCATATGATACAAGTTGAAGTGGCAAGTTTAATAACAGTTAAGGCCTGTAACATCCTGGCGCAGCTTGTTGCAGACCATGAATTGGTCCTACAGTATGTTTTATGTAAATTTGCTGTTGTCGCCGACGTAATCACTGGAACAAAAGCGTCTGGCTATGCACTGCTGTGAGACTGCGCGCGACAGGATGGCAAAAAAGGAAAGAGAAGGTAAATCAGGCGGAGACTGGCGACTGTGATCTTATTCTGACGTTAATGCGATAAGACCTTTCTTTACATAATGATACGTTGTACTGAATTGTTGAACTAATTAATTGAAAAGAAGCCAGGAAATTTTGTCGCGACTGAACCAAAAAAATACCGTTGTTAGATTGTTGAATGTTGAAATTTGTCATAATAGATTATACTTTTTAAAATACTTGGATCACTTTTTCCAATATTTTTAGATACAGAGTGGATCTCGCAACAAAAGCATAACTGAGACATCTATACCGTGGAATGGTCGGGAAGCCGAGTGCAAACCAAATTGGTCATTGACTGCCGTTAGCGCCTGTCGCGGACAGCAAAGAAAGGAGGATAGGCCGTGGCGGAAAGTCACACTCGACTGTTGCTGCTTGATTTTCCTGCGCCTTCACTTCTGCTCCTGTCGGTCGCCTTGTGCTCGTTACGGTATTGGCGTTTCCATATTGTTTTTTATACAGCTAGCGGTATAATTGCTCTTGCTAACTGGGCCTACTGGTGGTTGGTGCGAATCCACGTGATTAGACCAGCATCTAATGACAACCCCATCTATCGTGTACCATCGCTTTTAGGCTGCATTAAAGCATTGAACGCATCCTTTCTGCAATACGCAAAATGGCGCATAAATCTAGTGCATATCGTATTAAAAACTTACTGGTAAAGAAATATAAACACTAGTTCGTATAACAACAAACAGTCCGTTGCTGGCACCTACGTCTTTTCTTTGATTACGCATTTGAATGGATGGTTAGGGTAGTATCAAGATAAGGCTTTGCGGTTAAGCGTATGTATGCACTGATTGGGCGATGTAAAATTTTTTGCTCGTGCGAGTGCCATTTGTGAATTTGTTTTGGAAACGTCGAGAACGACAACGACAACGACGTTAAGCAGAAGACGAAGAAGTAATTAGCGCGCGTGTTTAATATCATCACCTAAAAGTTTTGGTATCGAAGTGTATTACAACGCTTACAAAAAAGATTTTTATAGCTCTAAAAATCGTGACGACGAGGATCCTTACCGTAACGCACGCAGTGCAGCAGGATGATTGTGGTCTTTGGCAGCTCAAACGCCTTTGGACGCGACGTGAATGAGATCGAGATGATGGCATTGGCCGGAACAATCTTTGTGATTTCTGTGCTTCTTGCTCTTGTATACAAGCTAGCGCAAGGCTGGGATGGCTTGGACAAGGACAAGCTTGGTGCCAGCGTGCTGCCGCTGCATGCACCCCGAGCGACGAGTCGTTGGGTCTCTAGTCGCAAGACGCATTTTGGACGCCTTGGCACAATTGAGGAGAACAAAGTCTTTTTGTTTAGCTCCAAGATGCGATAAGTAAAGCTGCCGCATGTTGCGATACAGTCACGACAGAAGAATGATGTAGTACTAGTCCCTTTTATTGAAGGCATTACGACCGCGGTAATCAGCGCATTCGGTCGAAGAGTGTGCTAGCTCATATGTTGTCTTAGATGACAGTCTGTAATTTTAGCCTCGCTGGGACACACTGGTCTAGACGCAAAGGCTAGAGTTGGCCACGCATTTATACTGTTATAGATGTCATATTTAACAAGATTTTCGTTTCGTCGGCTTTATTTACAGCTTGCTTGATCCGCCGATTGTTCGTTTTACTTGGTGCTTGCTCTCTGTTGCTGTGTCACCGTTTCTAGGAATAGCACATTATTACGATATCGTGACCTTTCAACGCAGCATCTGGAATTTGGCACTTGCGTCAGAATTAGCCCCATTGTCGATCTGCTGTCACCAATCTTGCTGCCACCTCATGGTGTCGCGAGAAAAGCGGTGAGCAAGCTGCTGAAAGGAGAGAAAGCGCAGTCGTGCAAGACGATACGTAATTGGCCTCATAGCGTTATTGTAGTACATGGTATAATCATCGCAGTTACGGCACGCCGCCTCGTGCTGGAAGCTCGAGTAGCGCGCGAAGACTCTCTTTTGGCTGCGCCATGTTACCGTAGCCCTTAAAGGCGCTGTCGTGGTATGCACCAAAAAGCCTCGCCTTCTTTGTTTCGGCTTCCACTATCCACCGATTTACAGCCGACATGGATGCATCCAGGAGCGCTAGCTGCAGCAAAATCAACGTGACGGAAAAATATGAACAATCGAACGTCAGTTGCAAGTTTGAGAATATTGAGATACGTCATCATACCTTTTCCGTAGTCGATCCCAATTGCTGCAGTGCCGAGCGCTGAAGGGCCTCAATACTTCGCGTAACCTTCAATTCGCATGACAGCTCTTCCTTTTGAGTGTTTTCCCCTACCTTATTTCCTTCTTGAGTGATAGTAGTGTGCGTCGCCGTCGCTTCGCTGCTAGACTCAGTTGTTGCCTCGTTCAATGCAGACGGCATGTCCGCTTCAAGTGTTGCCTTCATCTCTAGCCACTGCCTCTCTTCATCTTCCAAACTGCATGCATAGCACAATTAGTTATCCTTAATACCGTCATTACGCAGCACTTAAAACGCAGATCTACCTTTTCATCTGCTGCTCGTATGCCTCAATCGCTGCGCGCATTCGAGTGTTTTCTGGGTTAGGCACTTGAATCTGCCCACAAAGCAACATGATAAGCTACAAACTCAGTATAATAGAGAGCAGAACATGTAGCTCATACGTACTGCCACATTTCCTGGTGAATTCTCTGCCATGAAGGATATTAACTCGTGTTTCATGGCTTGCAGACTGGTCTCGCTGAGTTGCATAATGTCCTGACGCGCAACGGATGTAAGATATTCCTTTCTCACCTTTCGAAGTTCGCGCTTTACTTGACGCTGCACTAGATGATAGAGTGAGATCTGATCAGCCGACAGTTTCTTGTGCTTCATTTCCTCCTCATTCAGTGCCTCTCGCGTCGCCTCTTCCCGCTTCTTTTGACGCACTAATCGTCGCATCTCAGCCCTTTTCATCTTTTCTTGCTTAGCTCGTAATGCTGCTGATACTGCATCTGTATCCATTGTGTATTGTTTGCTAACATCCTTCTCATCGTCTTTTCGTACACGAAATACAAACGTATTTTCCTTAGCAGGTGTCCCAGGTTTTCTTTTTCCAACAGGTGTCGCCTCTAGAGGTTCTTGACTGTTTCCACAATCCTTCTTTTCCGTAAATTTAAAGCCTCGACGAGGTTTTCGTCCTATTTTACTATAAAATAAATTACATGAAGAAAACCGAGAATTGTTAGAGAAAAGCAGTTTATTAAAACGACATAAGATTGAAATCCAAGAAATTGCAATTTCTACACAAAAATCATATACCTTGGAGATGTCACTTTACGACGTCTTCTTTTCTCACGTTGAACAACTAGTGAGGTAGACGACATGGCGGTAAAAGGTGTCGCCATCATATTATTCAATGTGAAAGCGCAAACTTTCGCGCTTTTTAAGTTTGTTTTAAATGTTTAAATTATCCGATTGGTTAAAGGATGACAAAACTTTTGCACGTATATGATTGGCAAATAAACTAATAATTGAAAATCTGCTCCTTTATTTATAGAATGTGTCCTTTATAGCTCTAGGACTGAAGTAACGAAATCATTTTACGACATAAATGCTTCGTTAAATAAAAACTAAGAACCTAAAACAACAAACTATACTTTTCTTTCCCTCCGGTTGCAAATCCGACAATGCCTTGATTTAATTGAGGACTTATCGCTAGTAAGCCTTTAATACACACGGCGAAAAGGTCTTCTTGTAGTATTTGTGAAGCATTACTGAGAATTAACATTGCTTCTATCTACCCCCATTTCAATTTTATGGCAAAGGATACGTTCTCAGCACTTGGATCGGGTCTTGTCCTACTGTGTTTTCATGGTATTATTGTATTTGTGTAAAAATCGCTTTGAAGATACTATAAAATATATTTATCTATCTGTAACGACAGATACTTTCTTAATAAGCTGACTTAGAAACTACCAACATAATTCTAACCAATAGAAAAAGACAGCAATGAGCCGAGTTTCCGTTTTAAATGTTCCCCCTATTCATATCACTATGTTTGAAAGCTTTTTGATTGGATAATAAACAATCATACTTCTCCTCCAGCCATCACAGGTAGACATTTTCGAGCATGGGTCGAAAGCAGATACCTCCACGTCGTAATGCTAAGCGCCAGGGTATCGCAGCTCAAGCTTTGCGTTGCAATACGAGCAAGCTAGGTCAGCAATATCATACGATACCAAAGACGCTTGTCGGAAAGCAGCAGAATGCGCAGAAATTGCAGCAGAAGCGTGATCAGCTCCGCAGTCAGCAGATTGGTACTAATCGCGGTGTGGTATCAGGTTTGAGCCTAGCAGAGCTAGCTGGACGCGCCACAGCGGTGACACAACAGTATGAAAAAAACCAGCAGGAGGAAAGCGCGACACAGAATAACCTTGTCATCAATGACGCGTCTCGAAGGGCTTACATGAAAGAGCTGCGCAAGGTAGTGGACAAGGCTGACGTCATCCTGGAGGTGCTAGACGCGCGCGACCCCATGGGCTGTCGGACATTAGATATGGAGGACACTATAGGCAACCGACACGGCAAGAAATTGGTGCTGGTACTGAATAAAGTAGACCTTGTCCCATCACATGTACTGCAGCCGTGGCTCAAGTATCTACGGGGTTTTTACCCTACTGTGGCGTTCAAGGCATCCACGCAGAACCAGAGCAAGCACCTTAGTGCCAACTTTGGTCGAGCTGATAAAGCAGCAGGAGAAGCAGTGAGTGGAAGTAAAGCGGTGGGAACAGATGCGTTGATGCAGCTGCTTAAGAACTACTGTCGTAGTCATGGAGTAAAAACTGCTATTACGGTCGGCGTTATTGGCTACCCAAACGTTGGCAAGAGCTCGGTGATTAATTCGCTTAAACGCAGCAAGGCTGCAAGTGTGTCGAGTACGGCGGGCCACACTAAAGTCATGCAGGAGGTGCATATTGACAGAAAGATCAAGCTGCTTGACTGCCCTGGCATCGTGTTTGACCATTCGGACTGGAGCGCGTTAATATTGCGAAATTGCATCAACACGGAGTTGATGGCGGATCCTATTGGAGCGGTCCAAGTGCTACTGACTCGATGTCAACCGGCACAGCTCGCTGAGCTTTATCAATTGCCTGTTGATACAGTTTCAATGTGTTTTAAGGACGCAGTGCAATTTCTGGTGCTTGTAGCGCAAGCTAAAGGAAAACTGGGTAAGGGAGGTATTCCTAATCGACAAGCTGCCGCTCGTATCGTGCTGCAGGACTGGAACCGAGGCAAACTGCCGTACTTTACGCCTCCTCCGGATCAAAGTGTTCAAGTGCTGGATACGCAATTAGTGTCGTCGTTTGGTGAAGAATTTATTGTCACAGATGAGGATTTGAATCCGGCTAGCATTTTTTTACCGGATTTGGACGCCGCAAAAGAGTTTAGCGGTCCCCAATGCTCGATTCCCGTTGCAGATAGCGGCGACGTGTCTATGTTGTCGGAGACAACGACCGAAGCTATGCCTGCCTCCGTTCGCATCAGCCAGATGCTGGGCGACTTTGGTTCCGATACAGATTCCGACGTGGTCTCAATTTTAGGTATAGCGGACGACGAAAGAGGCGTTGCGTTCCCTGTGACTGCTTTGTCAACCCAGGAGCTGGCCGCTAGGTTGTCGCAGGACGCGTTGAACCCGCAGACAGCCTTGGCGGCGCGACGGAAGGCCAAGCAGTGGCGCAAGCTTAAGCGTCGTACTGCTCGTCAGCAGCTTGGCACAGAGGCTGAAAACTTGTTTAGCGAGCAGTTTGGCAGCATTGTGGGGATCGCGGCTTCTACTGTCAATCACTGACTCTTCTAAGCATTGATCGTAGACATACAATGACACAATGGTATTTGATTATTCTTTTCAACCTTCCTTCGATCTGCTACCTCTCACTCAGCTAAAAAAAATCGATTGCTTAGTCATTGTCGTACGTGGTCGTCAGCTCGGTCTCGTGACTCAGCTAACATCTCTCGCCGTTGCCTCTCCTTTCTGAGCTTTTTACAATCTAGGAGACGTCATCCCTCTCGGAGACGTCACCGCATTGGGTGGTGTCAACGCCATATCGTATTCAATGCTCGATCTGCGTCCACGAGTGGTGGCAGGGGCCTCTTGCTGGAGTTGCTGTCTCTTTTGAGCGTACACAGCTGCGAGCGCAGCGACCGCCACAACAGCAGCGACAATTGCAATAATAACGTATGCGTCGGCCTCGAACCCTTGAGATTTCGATGCATTTACAGAAGCCAATGACACCTTCGACAACTCTGTATTCACGCTGTCTTTGTCTCCCATTTTTGACTCATAATCGCTTTTGACCTCTCCGTCCATTAAATTACTGCATAAATCACTGCCGAGCGTCGTGGGTGCCAGCGTCGTGGGTACCGGAGTCGGTGCCGGCGTCGGTGCCGGCGTCGTGGGACGTCTGGGTGCCGGAGTCGGTGCCGGCGTCGTGGGTGCCGGAGTCGGTGCTGGTGTAGGTACTGCCGTCGTCGGCGCGGGCGTCGGTAGCTCTCCGCAGCCATTGTAAAGGTCACGTAACTCTGTCGTTTGGAAGAACCAACTCTCGTCATACTCTTCATTTCCATCAAAATAACTCAAGCTGTCCAAATCCATCGTGTCTTCTCCCTTATAGTCCCATGTCACGCACTCGGGCTTTACTATACTATTACAGCCGACAGTAGGCAGCACACAGCCCCACGTGTCTCCTCCATGCACCAACTGACACACGGCGTCTTCAGGCGCTACACATTGTTTACCCGTATACGATGGAAGGTACGAGTAACAATCCGCTACTGCCACATCACCCGCCTTTGGGCAACTTAATCCCGTAGGTCCTGAGCCTGAGCCCGCGCACAGCAATGAAGCGTCCACTGAGATATCGTACGTGGCATCGCGGCAGACACTTACTTCAATGGCGGTACTAAACGATGACGCGCTTAATCCCACGACAAGCACTTTATACAGCATTCCTCTGTATTACACGTTGTTGTTGTTGTTAATGGCAAATACCGCGCTGTATTAATAAGAGCACTGGTAAGAAGGTTTGTTCTTAGTCTTTTATGCCTAATGCAAAAATGAAGAACGACCAGGTGACTGAATTTTTTGGCATAGTCGGGCTGCTTTTGAACTTCCCGTCCACTGTGGCACAGAGATTGATCGAAATATACAACATGTTTAGGTGAAAGAAACTACGAAATTCTCGATTCTGACGACACTTCTAGAGGTTTGTGTTGCGATAAAATAGAGTTGATAGATATGCATCATTATATTAGAGTGCTTTTCTTGAGATCGTCGGACCGTATGAGCTATGGGCAATTGAATATTGCATAAAACATGAATTTGTCCCCAAGAGCATCGATCGTCTATTATTGTAGTGCAACTTTCCATTTGCCCTATCCGCAGGTGAAAATTTCAAGTGTTGCAGAGACGGGTGCATATAGTACTCACCTGGATACAATATCCATAGAAACGACCACTAAAACGTAGCTTAAAGCGTTTGTAAAACTTATATCAACATTTTATCTTAGCCCTTACGTTATTGTTGATTCAAATCCGACTACCAGTTTCTTAATTTTAATCCGTAAATTAAAGATCCAACTTTAAAACTAAGGTCTTATACAAGGGGCCGGAGCCAAAGTGGACGACACCAGTCATTGCAAAAGCAGTTAGTACTAAATGCCAAAACAAGCTTATAAGTCTCAAGCAAACGCCAACATTATCAGCGTAATGCTTCCTTTACGAGGATCATTAGCGTCCGTCATACGCAATCTACAATGTAATCAAGCTTCCATAACGTCTTTTGCGAAGAAACTGCATTTGCACTATCGTCCCCAGCATGACCACCGCTTGCACCACTTACGGTCTTAGACGTATTGTCGTGCAAAATTGTCATCACATAAAACCTTAAGCGCTTGTATGCGGTGTGATCATTGGTAATGTCGCCTTTGCGGTGGCAGCTGCAGGCGTTGTCGCTACTGTTCCTGCCGTCACGCCAGGCGTTGGTGGAGCTAGCAGAGAAGATTCTTGAAACTCTCCCTCAGAATCCTCGTCTTCTTCGTTCTCGTCTTCATCATCTGCGTTTTCCTCTTCTTCTTCTTCTAGCTCATCTTCCTTCATGTGTCGCTTCTTAATGTACACAATCAAGATGGCAGCCACAACAACAGCAGCAAAAGCTACCACAGCTGCAATTCCCTCCAGCATCTCATCACTAAGCTTTCCATAGTGAGCAACATCTGCAGCTGCAAACGTTACGACCGCCGAGTTGCCAGCCCTGCTATTCTTATCTTCAAGCTTCGTCTCCTTGTTGTTACCTTTGGTTCCGACGTCAGAGATGTCACTTAACGACTCATTGCACTTTGCCAGCACCGGTTTCGAATTGTTTGTTGAAGTCAGCGTCGACTCCGGCATTACCGTCTGTGTCAAACACAGTAGCGGTATTGATGTTTGCTCTTTTATCTCAGTGTCTGTAACCTTATCACCTGTTGCCGTCAATTTCGACGCCTCTTTCTCTTCCTCCTTTTCACAGCCTTTCGAATCTGCAGACGTAGTCGTCCGCGTCGTAGGTGATGGGGTCGCTTTGGGTGTTGCAGTTGTCGGTGCAGTTGTTGCTTTAGGCGTTGCAGTTTTCGGTGCAGATGGCGTTGTAGTTGTAGGTGCAAGTGTTGCTTTTGGCGTTGTAGTTTTCGGTGCAGGTGGCGTTGTAGTTGTCGGCGCAGGTGTCGCTTTTGGCGTTGAAGTTATCGGTGCAGGTGTAGGATTGCTTTCACAATTAGTGAGCTTGCTCAGTTCTGTAGTCTTCATAAACCAGCTCTCGTCATAGTCCTCGTTACCATCAAACGATCCGAAGCTATCTCCTGACATGTCGCCGCTGTAGTCCCACGTCTCACATGAAACCACCTTCTCTGTCAGCGTGTGATTGCAACCCACAGAAGGCAACACACATCCCCACGTGTTTCCATTCACGACTTCACATACAGCATCCTCGGGTGCTACACAGCTTCCGCTTTTAAACGATGCAAGAGTCGAGAGGCAGTCGACCACAGCCACGTCACCGGCTTTAGGACAGTTCCAGCCCGTGGGCTTAGAGCCTGCGCCGGCACACAGTGTCTTTACATCTACAGAAATGTCATATGTGGCGTCTTGACAGACACTCACCTCGACAGCAACTGCATATGATGCACTTAATACTATACATAGCCAAAAGTAGCGTGACATCATTTCTCAGCTCTAAAAATGGCAATGTAACTGTAATTTTTGTATGCTTAATGATAATATTTCTTGTCTGATGGGATGGGAAGCTATTTCACAGGATGGGTTCACTTGCAAGTCAATTTATGATGTCTCCATCGAGTCAGCTATCCGTACTATGTATACAGTATACACTCCTTTATTCTTTTTATTGATGTCCGTACTCTATCTTTGCTTGCTCACGTAAATAATAAAACGTAAGCACATTAATGTAGGAAAATAGTCATACCAATACTTAGTCATAACAATATGCTGTGACAGCCTTTGGCAGCTCCTCACAGGCCGGAATGTACGGCTCCTCTTCAATTTCGCTCTCGCTGACGTCAACTATGCAATGCTGGACTCGTTCTTGACAATTCCCCTTCCTTGAATCAACTGAACTCGTTGTAACCTGTTTAAGCTCGACTTCTTTAACATTTAGGTCCTTGCTCTTCTCAGCAATTAGTTGCGTCATCACTTGCGCCATAAAATTGCAGGCAAGCCGCTCTTCTTCTCGATCTAAAAGTGCGTAACAACTCGTTACAAAATGGTCAGAACGCGTCCCTTCACGACAGCCTTCTTTGTTGTCTATCTCCTTATTCGTGACCATTAAAACATTAGCTCCTGCTTGAGCGTTCTCCATAGCCTCAAGGGCCAGCTTTATCTCCTTTGCAGATTGACTACGAAGAAATGTTAAATCACGATGCCAATTTGGAAACACCCGCTTCACGACATCAGGAACTTCCAAGTAGTTTTGTATCCTTTCCAGTACAATATCAGAAGGCACACATGTAAGCTTAGAATTTCCGTCGTATTCTTCTTCGCATTTACTCATGGCATCAGTATCTTTGTTGTCGAGATTACAGCCATTTTCCATATTGACACTGCTTCCAGCATCCTCATCATCTGCAACAAATGTCTGCAAAACGCTGTTGCGGTACAGTAGCAAATCGCGCTGCAAACCGAAAAGCTGCTGCGAAGCGCGTTTCCACATAGAAATGGCGGCCACTGCAGCTAATTCGGCATGCTTCTCTTTGCCATAATCGACACTGTGATCAAAAGTACTCCACCTTGATGGCGCATATCGAGTTGCTACGGCAGAACTCCGCTCCATTTTTTTCTTATTCACACACTGATCAAACACATGAGCCTGACGATTGCTCGGAAAAATGACACTAAAAGCAGTTTCCCGATCCAAAAACTGAAGCACCTTTGCTGGTGGTAGAACCTGCGATTTTTGTAGCTTTTCTTTTGTCTTCTCTAGCCTGCTCAGCGTTTTTACGAGATTGATGCGCTGCTTGGCCATCTTTGCCATCTTTTCGTCAAGCTCTACAATTTTTTTATTCGTCATTGCAAGCTGCAGATCTGTCTGCTGTTCCTTCCCCATCGTTGACGAGCCTGTTAGTGCTAGCATTAAGTCCTCGCCATTATCGGCTCGTCTCCGTTTTCTCGGCTTTTTAGCCTTCGGAGCAGCTTCAGTGGAATCATCACCAATATCACCTGCCTTTGTCTTGCACAATTTTGTAGCCCTAGTAACTCCACTTCCAGCATTTGACCGTTTCCGTGTCTTAGTTCCAACATCGTTTGAATTCACGGGTCCCTTCAAAGGAACAGCAACGTTAGCAGCCGTAGTCACAGCACGACCACCAATGCACTCGTTAAAATGTGCCTGTCGTTCTAGCAGATCAAGTCGTCCTATTAACGTACTACACGTATCACACGTAGCTTCCTCAGGGGTGCAATCATCTACTATCTCACCAATCTTACCGCCAAAAATTTCAGTCGTCCTTCCCTTGACATTGTCATGCTCCTCCTTGGTGCTGGTGCATATGCCTCCGCTAATCACCACCACGTCCTTCACCGGTTTCAATTCGCCACAATCTGGATTGGCAGCTGAGTTATCAGCAGCTGTATTGATTATTATACTGTCAGTAGAAGCAATACCTGTCGTCCTTGAAAAAGCCCGACTAGTTGAGCTATGTAGTGCAAGAGCTGCTCGATTTTCCCCTTCCTTCTTATCCAAATCAACCACCATCTGAGCTTCTAGTAATGACAGAGAAAAAGAAGAAGCACTGTGAGTTGGTATCATACTAGCACTCGCAACACTATCAATCCTGTTCTCCCCGCACGGTTGTCCATGTCGAACGTGCACAAAGCGCAGACTGGTCCTGCCCATTGTAATAAGATCTCCGTTGCGCAGTGGATAATTAACTTGAGCCTTCAGTAATTTTCCATTGACTTTAGTGCCATTTGTGCTCTTAGCATCGCAAAAAACAAGTTTCGTGTCGTTCTCTACGGCCGTGACTAAATGAAATTCGGCGTGAATACTCGAAACTTCCAAGTCCTTGGGCAAACGTAACCAGCAGCATTTCTTGCGACCTATCGAAAGACGATGTACAGTAAAAGCCTTTATAAAAGATAAAGAGCAGTAACAGTATGTCGAGCCTGTATGGGGCCCTCTCGTAGCCTCGAGCTGGAAACAGTACGGCAGAGGTTTTACCATTTAAGAACGCAAAAAGGTTGCAATTTGAATAATCCAGACAATACGATGACCAAAAATAGTCCTGGATCAATTCCACAAAGTCTATTTTCCTATAATCGCTGGAAGAAGGAGAAATGTAGAATCAGAAAATGTTTTGCTAAAAGTTAGTATATGTCTTAACTTTAGCTCTAAAAATTGTGAGCAATAGATCAGTATTGTTAAACATGGTTAGTGCAGGCCATTAAACTCGCTGCGTACCAATTTTATGAATGCTGAGTTGAAGGGCAACATGGCACTATAAGAAGAGAAGAAATGGACGTGCTCACGTCACTGTTCCGAGGGACCGGAATCTTCACAACAACGTCACGACATTATTTTTATAGAACTTGATCCTCTATGATTGTAAATCCCTTGTTTCTTCATAAGCCTTATTATAGCAGCGATATTCTGACTGCTCTAAATTGTTGTTACCTGTAATATTGTATATACAGAAAATGAATGATACAATTGACACTATGAGAAGACAATGTCCGTTGTTTTCTGCATTGTCCCATTGCACCAAAAGTAACAGCAGCAAAGCTATTTTAACAATGACGGCGGAAGCAGAGGCGGCGGTGAATGCACTTAAGAAACTGGAGGCCAACAAAACGTGTGTGAATTGTGGCAACTACAATCGATTTGGGCACCAGCACATTTGTGAAAAGGTGCGCACGTTTGTGTGCTCAAACTGCAAGAGCGCGCACCAAAGCTACAGTATGCGCGTTAAGAGTGTGAGTATGAGCAACTGGACAATGGATGAGGTAGACGCGCTGCGGGAGGAAAACGGCGGTGGCAATGCTGTAGCAGCGCGCGTCTGGTACGGCCGCTGGGACGAGAGTCAAATGCGCAAACCTACCAAGGACGACGCGCTTGATTATTACAAGCGGTGCATTGATCGTGTGTACAACGACAAGGCCTTTTACGATGAGAACGGCTTTAGTAGTGGAGCTATTTCATCTACAAGCTCATCGAAAAAAGGCAGTGAATGGTTAATGATGCCAGCTCCGGTGATTAACTTGCTGGACTTTGACATTCCACCACAGACGAGTAAAACTCATGATGATTTTGGAAGCCCTTGTAATGATGAGTGGGGTGATTTTGAGGCTGCTCCGGCGTTATCGACCTCGATGGATGAATTTGGTGCGTTTGCGTCGGCTTTAGATCCCACCTGGACAGCCGACAGAAACGGATTTGCGGATGTCCGTGCTGATGTTGCGGCAGCTAGCATGGATTTATTTGGGGAGTTTGCTTCGGCCCCACCTGCAGTGGCATTAACACCTTTTGACCCGTTTGCGAATTTAGGTGGAAACGTGGTGACTTCAAATGCTTCGTCTTCAAAGTGCGCAGCGCTGTTTGATTCCTTTGCGCCTGCAGCTATGAACCAGAGCCAGCATCGGACGGCATATAGAATGAACCAATCTCAAGCAGCGACATCGCCCAAGGACTTTAGTGTGTTTGACGGGATAGTGGATTCGTCATTAGCAAACGGCACTTCTATTCGTAATAAAAGCGGTCAGTCTTGTGACCCTGTGAAGATGGAGATGAACGGACTGGGGATGCACATCCAGAGTTCTGAAGGCCTTCAACATCTACAGCAATTTGGAGGCGAGCAACACCTACAGCAATTCTGGAGGCGCGCAACACCTACAGCATTCTCGAGGCTCCAAACAGCAACAGCAGTATAATTGCTCTTATTCGAGGATAGGCAGCAGTAACGCTGGCTTTAACATCAGCACGTACTTTTCGCCAATAGCATCTGGAGGAACTACTAATTCAAGCGCCAGTCCTAACGGTAGGGACCCATTCGCGGGTCTAGGGCTGTAGCAGGTGATTGAGCTTAGCGTAATGCAAAGGAGCCCTATTAGCTTCGTCACGTACAAAAAATAAAGTATGCGCTCAGCATTGTACAGTCATGTGAGAGCGTCCAAAGTAAGTTTACAAACAAACCTCATCAACTAAAACGGATACATGCACATGGAATTTCAAAGAAAGCGACCTACATTCAATGTTATCTTCATTGTCTTCTTTTGTCACGCCGTTAAAACAATACATCAAAGATCCCTAGCAATCCATCGCAATGTTTTTGCATTCACAAACGATTGCTGAGTCAAAAAGGGGCTAGACAAATGAATGGAGAACCAAAAGCCTGTCATTCGACTCTGTTCTCAAACTCTTTGTAGTCACATCGCACCTGCCGTAACGACACCATTACCGTTGGCCGTAATAGAAGCAGTCGTCGTCTTATTAGCCAAAATGGCAGGCTTGGTCTGTGGAGGCACGAGTCTCTTGATCACAGCAGAGCTAGCGGCTCCAAACATCGGACGAAATTGAGCATAGAAGAAGGAAATGAACGGGATATTGGCCAGCACCGAATAAAAGTCGTAATGATCCGTGTGTGAGGCAATGCGTCCATTCTTAAGCTCGATCACGGAAAAAACCCGCAGGACAATCTTCATAAATCTTGGAAACGGCTTTAGACGGAAAACTACCGAGCTGTCGATAGTGAGAACAGAAGCACCCGCCATAGAACCGCGAACGAGTGTAGCCTTGCTCGACTTGACAAATTTGGACAATACGCGAAACTGCGCTTGGATATTATCCATTCCTCGCACGGACACGATAGGGTCCGTGAATACAGCATCAGGAAGGTAATACTTGGCAATGGTGGCGTCTCGATTAGAGCTTACGTCATAGAGGGATAATACATTCTCTGCTAACTCCTGTGCATTACGGTTAGCCATCTTGAATTTGACAAAAGGGGGTCTGATTCTTATTGTAAGTATGAGAATGAAGAATGTGCGTCAGTAACGAGAAACCCTGTGATATATGATGGGTACAGTACACACACTCTCTGAGCTCTAAAAAAAGACTTTCAGTAACAAAACATTCTCTTTCCCCGGCTTTTACTTCACCTCAAAGTTATACTCCGCGGAATAGAATTGCCAACAAGCCATTCTCTGCAAAGAAATAAGGCGACTGTGTCGCTATGCATAGCGATGCATGAACGGTATAGATTGCAAACGGCTTTGAGCCCAACAGGTGTACCCTGAACTTAACAAGAGCATACTTCATTGCAAGTCGCTCCTTGTCATGAACTGTATAGTTCTTCTCTACAACTTTCAGCTGGCGAGACTCAAACGCGATGAAGCGTTCGCGACCCTCAGCGTCAACTTGCAAGAAAGCACTGCCAATGGCAAAGCCCGAAGCGTCACTTACGACGCTAAACGGGCGATCAGGATCAGGTAGAGCCAGAATTGACGCCTGAAGGAGACTCTCTTTAATGGTTTCAAAAGCCTCATGGTGCTCGGTGTTCCAACACCATTCCACATCCTTTTTAAAGAGATTTGATAATGGCCGAGCCTCTTCCGCATAGCTGTGGTTATACTTATGCAAGTTAATTGGCAAACCCAACCACTCACGGAGGTTCTTCTGGTTCCTCGGAACCGGCCAATCCACTATGTCTTTGACCGTAACAGGGTCTGCCCGGATTTATTGCTTCCCAATAAAGCATCCCAAAAAGGGAATCTCTTTCGCACCAAAGATGCATTTGACAATATTGGCATATAACTTATGCATCCTCATGCAACCGAGCACAGCTCGCAGGTGCTCGATGTGATTCACCACAAAGTATGTCTGTGCATACGCCCTTGGGGCCGAAACAACTGTGTCACCAGACGATTGAGCGTTGCAGGTGCGTTAGACAGCCCTTGGGGCATCACTAACCACTCTCAGAGCCTACCGCTTGGAGTGCTGACCGCTGTTAGCGGGATTTCACTAGCTCGCATAAGCAGTTGGTAATATCCATCTACTATTGAGGGCACTGTACATCGTACATCCCACCATATTGTTCTGAAGAACATCCTTGCGAGGAACGGTGTTTGAGCCGGGATAGTGGCTGCATTCAGCTTATTGTAAGCATGCACTATTTTTCGCCACTTCCCATTAGGCTTCCGCACACAAAACGTGGGTGTAGAGTGAGGAGATTTACTCTCACTCACCATACCAGCCGCGTGCTTCGCACGAAAGAACTCGTCAATGACGTCACATTGTTCTCGTGGCAGCGGCCACTGTCGCGTCACACAATATTTGGTTCTGGAACCAAGTCAATCTCATGACGTATACCTTTATCCGGAGGTAACCTGTAATGGGCCGCGTAGCAGCTGTATTTTTCGCGCATATTAATCACATAAGTAGGAGGAGAACACATGGATAGCATGTGTTAGAAACATTAAGCATCGCACCGACCCTATTAGGTACAACAATAATAGGTGGTCATTCGGACACGTGTCAGTTCCTGATGAAGTCACTATTGAGAGTCGCAATACTAATTTACGAAATTTTTATTTTATTATTTAATAATAAAGCTCATATTTATATTTAATTTATACTAGGGATTCGTGTAGTCTTCTTCAAAACCTTATAATTCCCAGTGTTTGCGATTGTCTGGCCCCGTTACACCTGGTAGCAATTTGTAGTCTTTCCAATCGCCGAGTTTGAAATGCAAGATCCCTCTTCTGATTCTCCAGAAGGAATTATGGATCATGACATTTATTTTATCTCACTACTAAAGAGTGGAAAGCCAATCACCGCCTCGAGGCGATGTGGGGAAAAATGGTTGTCACGTCGCTACTTAGTTCAGCGACTCCGGAGAGGCAACGAAATGCCATTTGTGAGCTCACGAGCCGCGTTCTCTCTGACTTAAATCGTCAAGCACTAACTCCTTTGCAAACTTTGCGGATTGCGTCCGTAAAGATTGAGACGTCTGATAAAGCAAAGTTCAATTACAATTGAATCAATGGCTCCAAGAAACTGACATTGCGACCGCTACGAGGATGATCGAAACGATTTAAGCAAACGTGACGCATTCCAACTTTGAAGTAGACTTATGTCACTGTCGTAGAAAAGTCCTTCACGATGCTATTAGTACACTGATAGCGGTCTTGTCTGGCCGTTAAACCACGAGCAGGAAATTGTAGTGGTCGAGCAGGGGTTCTCACAAGAGAAAAGAAAAGTCGAGTAGGTGTTCCCACACAACAGCACGGTGGTCGAGCAGGGGTTTCTACACGAGAAACAGTGCTCGAGCAAAATTCCGCACAACAACATAGTAGTTGGGCAGGGGTTCCCACACGAGAAAACAGCGGTGAGTAGGGGTTCCCACACAAGAGAAAAATTATTTAAGCAGGGGACCCAAACGAGTATACGGCGGTAGATCAGAGGTTCGCGCATTAAAAGAAGACAGCTACGTCAAGCCTTTACGACAAGGTCAAAGATTAACCTCGTGCCTCGAGGGGAATGATATATTGCCCCGTGGTTGCAGTTCACCATCTCCGAGTTCTAGCTCAAAGCAAAACGAGGCCCCACGCGTCGATGCTCCTGTGTGGCCGCATGTTCGTGTGATTGAATATGCGGATGGTTCTTCGCTGCGTCATTTCGCTCTCGAAATCTTGACCCCACCTTGCGACGTTCCATAGATTACACTCCTTCCAAGTCTTTCTTGGAAACGCTACCTGCGTAAATTGAAAGGCGACTGCATCGAGAAAGTGTGCTGATCACCGACAAGATCGTAGACTCCATCTCTGCCGTGTCCGATGGTGAGCTCCTATCAGTCCCATTAAGCGCTGAGCCTAAGTCAGGACAAGAACAACGTATTGCGACACAATCACGGGACGCGCTGAGCGAATACGGTAATTCTGTATACGACATTGCCCGTGAACACGCAAATGTTATTCAGGATTATATTCCACTAGAACGCCTTGCTGAACGATGTGTTGAGCACAAGATCAATCTCGTGTCGGGATAAAGTACGGCAATGGGGTACTGACGCGAGACCAAATTAAGGCAATTGACGACTTCATCGAGGACTGACGCAAGTCGGGCCATGTTCGCGAGATTTTCTCTCCTCAGTCGAGTCCGACCTTTTGTGTGAAGAAGACCACTGAAGATGACGTATTGTCTACGCGTTCAACAAACCAAATGACGCGACGAGTTCTGTGCAGACACGTATTTCCCGGAAGGACATGAATTAAATTCATGTCAGGCAGCGTCCTCTTCAGCGCAATAGATCTGACGGGTTTCACTAGATCCTTACGAGACCGAGCGACATACCCCTCACAGCGGTGAGTATTCAAGTGATATGCTTTAAGAATGGACACTCCGAGAATTTTGCCAAGCAACTTCGATGACATATTTGTTCATAGCCGCGCTGAGAGCGACCTCAGTGCTGTGGACGTACATCTTTGTCACTTAAAATAAGTATTTCAAGTTATGCGGGAGAAAAAATTATATGCAGAGTTGATGAAGTGTTTTTTTGCGCACCGGAAATGCCAGTGCGGGACTGCTATGCGAGAAAATCGGGTGTTCGGGCCGATCTAGAAAGTTATTGTCGATTATCTCGTGGCCCTATGCAAATAACCCCACTGAATTGTGTCAATTGCTCCATCTACCGCTTGCATAAGTATACGTAAGATTATGCTGGATTCATCAAACCACTTACATCACTGCTGAAGGAAGACGCCACTTGGACGTGGCGTCCCAGGCATTAAAACGACTTTAATGCTGTTAAAAAGAGCTTTGCGTCGGCGATATTCTTGATTCTTTCCGATAATTTGAAGCCGTTTTACGTGGTATGTTACACTAGCGACTTCTCCATCGGTTGTATCCTCATGCAGCGCAACCATGAAGGCCGTGAACGAGCCGTGAGTTATCAGTTGCGACAACTGAATCTCGCAGATAAATATATGCTGTCCACGACAAGGAACTGCTTGGAATGCGTTACGCTCTGATCAAGTTAGAGTTATTTGGGCGAGCAGACTTTTGCTTTGTACATCTATAACGCGTCACAGCGCACAGCGATGAAAGGCCCGCACTTTTCTTATCGTATGGATCGGTGGTTAATATTCTTCTTTGAGTTTTAAATACGAAGAAGAACGATAAACACTCCAAGCCAGGAAAGAACAATATTCTTGCTGACGCTCTGTCTCAATGTTGAAATCGCATACTTGAATGCATGTATATTGATTAAGCAGTATGTACGAAGTATACTGAGATTCCCGCAACCTACCAGAATCATATACGGTGAATAAAGTGCGTTATGGATTGCATCAGTCAGGAGCCGAATGGAAAGAAGAGATTAATAAATTGTTGGTAACAGAGTTTGAAAAAAGTGAGACTTTACGTCTAAGAAAATTGCAAAAATCAGTCAGCTCAGCACTACAAGAGCTAAAAGATAGCTCTTGAAGTGCTCGCAACGACACCAACGTTGAATTATGGCAGCCTCTTAGTTGTTGTGTGCGATACTTAGACTAGGTCAACGATACTGCTTTGGTTGTCAATAATCTCGAACACGCTGGTACAGGACAGATATTCAGGAACATTATCAAAAGAGCTTTGAATTTTGCGTTAATTTTAATCAAGCAAAACTAAAACGGTGCTGATAGTCAGCTTACGATACCTCAATGCTGATGTCCGCGTCTAGTCTTTTTATTTGGTCGGTCCGAGACGCTGAAAACTGCCTTTCGCTTTTTTTTAAGACACCAATTCCTCCTTTTCTAAAACAATGACAATATATTCGTTTTCTTTTCGCGTAGTCTTGATATTTTTGGTGTTTCTTCCTTGAACTCTAAACTCAATTTAAGTAGCAGCTTCTCTGCCGCAGATTCTCCAATACTTTCGGCATAATTATACCATACACTCAAGAAAAGGACTTCCAAACAAGTTTTTACCTTTAGAACCAAGTGGTAAA